TATCGATTCGCGTCATGTTACTAAGCCGACCAAGCTGGAAACCATATCTGGAAACCTTTGGTCAGGAACTCTCCGCAATCACGGTAACAAAGGAAGTGGTACTGACTGACATGCGCATCGTTATTGATACACAACTTAACACGCGTTCGCGTCTCCACAAGGCCCGTATACCGATGAAGAAGATTATAAGGTCAACCCTACTTCAGAAAGCTGACTGCATGTTGTATATCGAGCATATGCTCAGGCGTCTCAACAAAAGACAAGACGAGAAAACAATCCTGGAAGAGTTACAAAATGCGCCATCGAATCTGACCAGCCTGCTGGAGTCTATAGGAATGGAAATTCAAAGCAGGCGAACGGAAGCACAACTGTTTGCTATCCAAAACGTCTATGCCTGGTTGGCGTTCTCATGCCGTCCGCTGACTGTAGGAGAAATCAACGAAGTAGCAAGGACGTGCGGCCACTATCAAGCGTTCAATATCGCCGACGAAGTCTTGACTAGATCCGTCGGCTTTTTGAACATTGTCGGAGTCGCCGAAGTCAACGAAGACGATGAACAAGATGGACCCGTGACTGAAAACGAGGCGGTACCAGATGCTAGTGGCATTGATGTATTTCAACCTTACGACGGAGATGCTTCACTCGTAAAGGTATTGAATCGGCCATTGAAGGACTATTTGCGTAGAAATGACACCGAATCGCCAAATCTACGCATCTCAACTCAGCGTTGCCATATCACGATCTTTGAGCTCTCAGTCAAGTTGATTTGCTCACTTGATCCGCGATCAGCGAAAGAAGGCGGTTCTACACTGAACAGATACGTCGCAACGTACTGGGGAAAACACTTCCGACAGATCGAATTGCAGAAGACATCTGATCAAGAAGTTGCGTCAATCATGCAGATGATGAGATGCATATTGACGAACTACAACGATGCTGCCAAATTCATAGAGGCGCATTGCGATACCGACGATGATACGGATTTCTACTATGAGAGTTTAGGCGAAACGAAGCGGGTGGGAAATGAGTTCATGAACTCATTGGCGCTCTGGATGGAACGTGCGTCGGCGATATCTCCTGACGTTGATGAAGCCACACTGCAGTGGATTCGCAAGTCAAGGCACGAGCCACTCAAGCTGATGACGCCACTGGTGAAGGGCCATAGTGTGAACTGGTTAGGGGACTCGAAAGAAGAGAGCAATTCTTACGATTTTTTGGTGGACCTTTTGAACCTCGTAAGTCGTAGTCGGGCCGTACCCTTAATTTGAAGGAGTAGACTTTTCTCAAAGTGTCGTCGCAATACAGGATTTCGGGAGTCTGATCGAGGAACGCTGACAAGTCAATGCAGACAGATCTAGGACCTGCGGAGTGTCCCCGGCGCATAGGAAGCGACGATCTCGATTTCATCAAAGCAGTTGCCTTGATATTCGATGATATCCATCTGGATTCGACCGCACTGAGAGCTATCGGAAACCTTTTGGCCGAACATGAGCACATTGCTCCGGCCTTGGAATATTATCAACTAAGCCTGAACTCGGCAGAAAACGAGGTCGACAAAATGAAGACGCGTTTGAAATTTTCGGATTTGCTGATCCAGACTTTAGTCGACGGCACATGGGCAGTGGTCGAACAGGATCAAGCTCAGCAAGCTCAGCAAGCTCAGCAAGCCCAGCCTGAGAAACTGAACGTCATTCCCAAGCCTGAACCGGATGTCAAATGGCATGACGAAGGAGATGGCTTGGACAGTATGGATGAGGCAAACTACGTCGAACGATTCAGAAATCCATACGAGTTGCTGCAAGCGACCACATCTACAAATCCTCCAACAAGCGATCAAGCTCTCCTCAAACTCTATCAAGAATCATTGATCATTCAATCGTATTGTGAGATGAGGTTGGGTCTGTTTGAGAAAGCATATGCATCATTCGAGAGAGCTCGATCAATGCTACCTGACGAGTTACTAAACGGCGAGTGCCTTGCGATCCTCCCAAGTATTCTCGCCGTGAAACAAAACAAATTTCAAGAGGTGGTAGAGAAGCTTCATGGCTGGAACGTTCTTGAACTGATGGCGTGGCTCAGTCAGGAATACAAAGTGCTAGGCACGCTCGCAGAAGATCCTAACACTACCTTTTGTAGAGCTGGTCACCTGGCTGGAAATGACGAGTTTGTTACTAAGGCCTATGAAGAGATCATTTGTTTCATGGACCAGAGAAAAATGATTGGTGCGCGGGGAATGAGATATCGCCTGGCTCAATTTCATATCAACGTTTCACGGGACCTTGAGAAGGCCAAAAGGCTGCTTTACGAGGTACGTGATTTAGAGTGTAGTCTTCAGTCCTCGAGCTCGAGTCTTGTATCGAGATGGATCGTTTTGTCTTTGCCACCTATTACTGTTTGCTGACTATGATGAACCGTACAGATCCTAGGAAGCCACAACAAACGAGATGAATATGGTCTCATGGCAGAAGAGGAGCTCCCGACTCTCGCTCGAAAAGAATTGGCAGAGATCCTTTATGAACAGTTCCGCTCAACGGCCAAACCTGTTGGAAAAGCAGGATTCGTGGAAGAGATGAGCCGGTTACAAGATCAACGACTCAAAAACGCTCGCATAGTAGAAGCATACGAATATCTAACAACAACCATCTACGCAAGCATGCTTCGAAAAATGGGCTCTACCACAACATTCCAGGAGGTTCTGAATGATACATTCGACTTCTGTATTGCCTCGTTGACGGATGCTGAAGGCTGGAATGATGCTATCTGCCTACGGCTGTTGGCAAAGGTCTTAGCCTTAGTCGGTGGCCTTGAAAGAGAAGCTCAGATTGCCTTTTCGTTGCAATACTCAATCCTTGATCCAAAGGTGAAGTTGGAGGAAGACCCCTTTGAAAGCTCTGACTCATCAGATGATGAAGATGATGAAGACGAAGATGGTATCCCACAGGGAGATGAGCAGAAAAGCGCTGAAGCCTCGACCCTAACGGAGAGCGACAGCGATGACGAAGACAGCGAAGTGATAAAGGATGATGACTGGGGCGACCCCTCTGGAGTTGAACTCTCATGCTGTGGCGAACAACATATGGACAACCCTGTCGCTGTTGGTTGGGACGACGGGCCGATGTATCTCTGCATCCTGTGCGCAGAAACGCAGCTTTGCCAAGGATGCTTCGACAAGGTTCGCCAATACTCCCGGTCCGATAAATGGTCGTATTGGAAAACATACTGTGGCCGAGATCACAAATATATAGAGGGCCCTATAGATGGCTGGAAGGGGGTCAGAGATGGGGTGATGGTAATTGGGGAAGTTGAACAGAATGTAGCAGATTGGATCCAACAGTTGAGGGAGGTCAAGTGGCCGGGAGCATGGGAGACGTTTTGGGTAAGACAGGATGGTGTTGTGGATATTTTGGGGAAATGAGTACTGCTTGTGATGAAAGAGCCACCTAGCCTTCTAGTGTGCTAATACAACCATAACTACAGGCTACTCGAGTGCTAGACGCATATTGGCTAACAGGAAAAGATTAAGTTCGTTAGGTCGTATGAATGAAGAAGGAGAAATAGCTAGAAGTCTCACTGGAGAGGCCGCAGTAAAAACAATAGAAAAGACGGAAGAGACAGTAATCCGTATCTTGGCGGCAAACTATTCTTAATGCTAGCGCGTCTCTACCGGAGCGAGGAGCATTAGACGAACGCAGGCTAAAGAATGACTATTAATGACCGCTTGAGGCTATAGTGGGGCTGCGGCGATGGAGTCGTGTTTCCTGGAAAGAGTGCCCGAGGGCGAACACCAGCTACAGTAACCGTGCGCCAGATGAACACCGTCGCCAGTTGAACACCCCACCAACAACAATATAATCAAAAAGATGAGGTTGTAGAGCCACCACAAATCGTAATAAAATTGCGCAAAGCTGGTATTATACTATATATAGGCCTACGAAAGTTTTGGCTTATTCAGAATTTTTTTTGGAGGGCGTTATCACGCGATCACGGCGACTACGCGGTAGAACAGCTGGTGCACCCCTTGCGGCTCCTATTACAGCTGGAGCAACACTACCACGCTTTTAACGCTTTGTAGCTGGCTTATAAGGTTTTGAAGCTTTGCGCTTACCTAATTAGGGCAATTGTATAGCTTTGGCAGCGTCGCGGAGGCTTCTACGATGCTCTTTTTTAGCCTTCTCTGCGGCCTTCCGCTTTCTGGTCTCCTCCTAACCCTTCTCCCGCTTAACACGCTTCGCAGCTTTGAGTTGAAGATTATAATCGCGTGCTGCCTTCTTAATCTTGGCTTGCTTAGCTTTTTAAAGCTTTTCAAGCTCGGCTTGTTGTTGTTGTAATGCCTGACGATCGCGAGCTCGTTGTACACTTCTGGGCGACTATATTTTGGCTCCCCTATGGTAAACCTCGTCCTTATTAAGCTAGAGGGTGAAGGACTGCTTTGGTCGCCTCTCCTTGATGGCTAGGGACTGCCTAAGGCCCCTGATCTCCTCATGAAGTATACTGTTTTGAGCTAAGATGTAGCACAAGCTTTGTTGAAGCTTCTTGACGTCCTTACTGCTCTAATCCTTCACCTTACGGCGTACGATTAATTTGAGCTTGAGCTAATCGTCTCTAGAGAGGACTAACTGGCTGCTTTCAGAATCTGAAGCCTCCTTGGCAAACCTCTTAAGTACAACGTCTAGGTTAGCTGGCTGTATACCGGTGGCTTTAAAAGACCTTTTAATGAGTTGAGGCCTAAATACAGAGGTCCAGGACCTCTAGAAGAGCGGGAAGAAGTCTCCTTTGGTTAAATTGAGCAACCCCTAGCTGTCCTGTAGGTATCTAGATAACTGAGTTGAGTAAGCTGTTGCTAGGGGTTTGAACATTACTATATTAAGTGGTTGAAGCGTATAGGTAGCGTGAGGTAGAAATACAAACAAGAGGATCTTGTTGTCGTGGCAATACTCAATAAAGTCGATGGTTACATGGGATCCGTGGCCGTTAAGGATCAATAATTGATACCTAGTTAAAGCGTATCGTCTGGTCTCCCGTTCAAGTACCCCCTTGAGCCAAGCTAACCCAATATCGTTGTTGGTCTAGCCAGAAGGTGATGACGTAGTAAATACTGAGTGTTCTTCTGCTTGTACAGCGTTAACCTAGCTCGATTGAACGGCTCTGTTGGCTCCCTGGAAGATGAGAGTTGGACTTAAAGCTGTACCATCCGAACAAATACAAGCTATAACCGTTATCCACTTAGTTGAGCCATCTTTAAGTGCTTGCCTTGCCTCTTTTTGCTCGTACAGTCTTCTGCTGAATATACGTTTTGTATTGCTAACCTGGCTAAGTTGAAACCCCTTTTCGTCTATATTAAATATATAGATGGGTTGTATATTGTACTTCTCTATCTTTTTATGTAAAAGCTTGAAATACAAGCTGTACTTAGCCCCTGAATTAGCTTTTGTACGCTCCTTGGCCATGGCTTTGCCTGAGCGAGAGATGAGATAGTTGGGATGCCGGCGGAGATACCGGTTAACCTAGCTTTCGGAGACCGGTTTGCCAGCTAACTGACTGGCAAACTGTTGTATTATTGTTCTTGTAGGTGGCAAACGTCGTTCGGTAAGCGTTTCGATATATTGTACAAGCTCGGCTTCGCGTTCTGGGTGCAGGGATTGGTTGCGTACGCTATAGTCCTCGGTTTCGTGTTTGTGCCGTCTTATCAGCGTAACGCGGTTGACGCCGTACTTTTTAGCAATTTGTTGGTACGAGAATTGTTCTCCTGGATCGCGCGATTCTATTTCTGCAATCGCTTCTTGAATTGGATTTATGGTGGTTGAGTTATGACGCGTTGAAGTTGGGTTGTTGTTGTTGGTGGGGTGTTCAACTGGCGACGGTGTTCATCTGGCGCACGGTCACTGTAAGTGTCTTTGAAACAGCACCGCAAGTTTGGACGGATGGCAATGAGGACTAATCCTCAGTGTCGCGTGGTCTTATATGGCATAGCGAACGATTTTCCCATTTATGAAGAGCCTGGAGAGTCATCGGGGTGAATCAACTATTTGGCGAGTGGTAGAAAATGTGACGAACTGAACCGCATCAACGTACTGACGCGCTGGCGCTTTGACGCTAAGTACAGTCCAACGAGCTTGCGCTTCAGAGCCTTTTCTTTTCATCATCTCCGTCTACTGGTTCCTCTTTCTCTTCAACTCCAGCATATAACTCATGTGGTTCAATCTTTCCCACGTCTTCCGCACTCAAACCTGCATGTCTGAACCGCTCTCCCTCACCACCCAAATCCCCCCACTGGATCCCATTATCCGGAAATCCGTCCAGTGACGTCGTCGATGCCATGATCACTCTCACGCTGCCAAACATCTGCGGAATAAAACCCTCGCGCTTATACGTAAAAGCCCACCAGCACACAGCTGTCATCAAAAGGATCAGAAATGTTGCGAACCACAGAGGATACGCAGCCCACTTCAGTATGTATTTGGAGTGCTCGACGTGTCGTCCTGGGCTATGTTCGATCCAGATAGCTTCATGCGCTTGCAAGGCCTCGCCGAGCATCCAGTGCGTAAGGGTAGAATAGGCCATGATGGGAAAGAGGATCTTCTTGGGCAGTTGCAGCAGGTAAGTCTGGTTGAAAGAGGTACCAGAGACGAGTGTTGTGCGGATGCGTTTGCGGCGGTATTCGAGTTTACCCCAGTCGGATTCTTGCGATATGAGTGTGATGTTGTATATCATCATAAGATAGAGAAGGGAGTATATGAACTGTGCAGCGTTGGAGCTATGCAATGTGAGCTTAGGCGTGGCAACTAGGGAAGCTTAGCAGTGGGCATAACTTACATGCCGAACGCGATGAATTCGTTGGACAGGTTATCTGGAGTAAGGGAAGTGACTGTTAAAGAGCGGTTGAAGCCTCCAAAGCCGCCGGATATCGATTCGAAATACTCCGTTGAGCTCATGTGGCATCCCCGAAAATCTGGAGCATCAGGCCCATGCTTCTGACAATAACGGTTCCGGCGAGTAGCAGAAGATCCCAAGCTGTTTGAGTTTCTTAGTGGGAAATCTCGCTAAGAACGTGATAACTTACAGCACAGCAGCCGTCAGCGAAGCGGTAAGAAGTGCAAGGCTACAGAACATCATAATCAACATCTGCGTCAACGCCGTGTTGCCGAGGTTGCTGATCAGACTCTTTTTGATCTTGGTTGCGATGGTAGGTTGTGGAAGATTTGCAAATTTGTCCTTCGTGTTCCATTTCTTGCATTTCTGGCAGTGGCCAATCTCGTCTGTACATGTGTCAATGTTACAAGGTAGTTTAATCATTGAGATCTATTCTTACCACCAGTTTTGGACTCTTCATGGTTGAAGCAGTGCTTGTGACAGGTATGTGAATACAGTCGACGAAAGCTGTCAGTAGCGTTGACCATACACTCTCTACTCGTCGTTAGCGGATTAGCTGACAGTGTGAAAGGAGATTACAGACCCTTGCAACTTGAGCGCTGGATCAGCCGCAGACGCAACGATCACGTCACCGAATGTCAGACAATGCTGCTTTACCTTGCCACGAGCTAACAGATTGACAGCACACATGTACACCGCTTTAATGACCAAGCAGCCCATGAGCACAAACGCGGCACTCATACGGACGTTCAGACGGCATTTAGATGCCGTTTGTTCGTGTAGCGTACAGATGACATCCTCTCCCATGGAACAATTGCCTGCCCTATAAGCGGATGGATAGGAATATTGAGAAAATACTAATTCTTTTGTCTCAAGATCATTGACTCCTTCGATCTTGACAGTCTGATTATATTGTGTACAATTTTCTGTGGTATAGTGAACCATCATTTTGCGCCAAGACATGTCGAAGTTTTCCTGGTATTCGTTAAAGATACCATCGTCCATTGACGAGACGTCGACGAAATGGATCGGGTAGTGAGCCTTCCCTGAACCTGAGTCGAAAGTGTGATTAGCATGTGCCCAGCTGCGTGCGGATATCTGCCCGTCGTGTGGAAACATTCAGTGTGCGTCTAGGTTGTGCATGTTGTTTGCAAGCACCAGATGCATGACTGGGAAGCATGACTTGGAAGCATGACTTACTGCTAACGGTTAGTATTAATCACAAACAGTAGTGTCGTCGTCAGGCCCGTACCGGAATGCGCTCCAACATGGAAACGATAAATCACCGTTCAAATAAAGCCCACCACTCAACTCGCTGATTGAAGTGACGTTAAGTTCTGGTAGATCCACAGGGTTGAACTCGACAACTTCAGGTAATTCCTGGGTATATGAAGGGCCTATGAGGGAGTTTGCGAGAAAGTGTACTGGCATCGATGTGAAGATTAAGAGGAACCACGCAGCCCATGCGCGCTTCTTGCCTTTTTCCTTATGCCGGATGTTCAACGGCGAATTTGTTCCTACTCTAGAGTCTCCAAATTTTGACAACGCATATCTTAAGTCGCTTATTCTAAGAGAAGTGACAATTTGCTGATAAGTGTTGCTCATTCCCAGGACCATGGTCGCGCATACGTTGATGAAGAGTAGGCAAGCTGTGTTAGTGTGCGTGACCCTCTTGCAAGAATCTGGCTCCCCACCCACGGAGGTAGAGCCTACATTTGTGCGGTTGACAATATGCTTGATGTTACACGCGATCAGGATAATCATACCGAGTGCAAGAGCGCTCATCGTCATGGCCATCGTACGGAATGACCGATCGCTCAACAGCTGATCTTTCCAAATACCGCGACCAACTCGTGCGGGTTCAATGTCGGCGGCAGCATGTCTTCTAATGGAGCCTCGGAGATATTTTGGCAGTGGTCGCCTTCGGAGGAGGTTCTTCAATTTTGTGGTGCTGCTTCCAGTAGCGGTCGATCGGAAGCTTTCGGAGCTTTTTCTGCTAGAGCTGTCCGGGCCATTGTGTTGTTGAGTGGAATCGTATTGCGGAAGATACGGTGATGGATCGGACGGAGCATACTGCGAAGAAGAGAGTCGCCGCAATGGCATCTGCGAATCTTGCGTATGGAGTAATCCGATTGTATCGCGGAATTCGTCGTTCACCGACAACCTTTAGTTAGATCAGCATGTCTGCCATACCTCGAATTAGCCTACCATGACCTACTCGGTTATATCCTGGTCGTGTCTGAATACATGGGGAGTCAGTAGCCTATCGTAGCTCCAATTTTTGGCCATCGTTGTAGCCTGTTCCAGACCACGTCCAGAAGCTCGGTCTCTTGGTAGGCTATCTTTCGAGTTGGTCGAGTGGACTTGCGACAGCGCGTCAGCGACTGAATCTTGTTGTTGCCGTCACACACCCACAGAAACGAAGGAAAAAAGAGTGATGCATGTAGTAACTTTAGATAAAGAGCATGGTAGCAGTCTGAAGTAAACTGCACGCCGTCGCCGACTCAAAGCTTGGAACAGCCCAGCCAAGACCAGCCACCTCACAAAGCGGACACTTATCATTGGGGTACAACCTGAGAACCCCGTCGTGCAACCCTGAGTCGTGCGTGTGTCCTGTAAGTCGCCCCTGTCGCGGCACAAAGAGTGCATCCCGATACTGTTAACTAGCACGGTAATCTTTCGATCTGAGCCAGATAACGATTGAGAACCGGTCAATATGCACAAGGAAATGATGCATGTTTGGTCTCGATGGTAGTGGGCCAATGCTGTGTGCACACTCAGTCAGCTTGCGCGGGATCCTGGCGCTGTGGCGCCTGCATGACGCCTTGAAACTCGCCTCCAGCCCTAAGATCGAATAGTGGAGGACAGGCGGGGCCTAGAACATGACATAATCATTTGGGGGCCGAAATCTCGAAGTTTAAAGGTAGCTCCCGTTAATTCCTCTAGGCTGTATGATGGTGGACAGTGGTGTGGTGGTTGGAAGATTGCAAAGACCGCTCAGCCGCAGGACGCTAACGTGCTCCACTCCAGGCCGCCTGCAAGTTCCGAAATTGGAAGCGCGATTCCGATATACTCCTTTATTAGAACATAACAGACAGCACATGATGGGATATCTTGACCTCGGTGTTCTACAGTCTTTTGTGGATGAGACAGTAGTTTAGTAAACTATGTAGCCGGTCAGTAAGAGTTCAAACTATCGATTTGTAGTTCATAACAGTACCAACCGTTCCGTAAAAACAACGTGGTCGATCCTAAGAATTACAATCTACGCATCTACATAAACGCTGTTACCACTGCAATCCGCACAGCGATCAAACACGGTCATGTCTATTGGGTTGACAGATGGCTTCACGAATCAATTGTTAGTGTAAGCAAGTTGGACGGATTTCTCTTTATATAATGAACAAACTATAGCAGGAAGCAGTCGAGTGTAGTTACTTCGCCTAACAGGATTGATTTGATGTTAAGACTTGGCTAACGGGGGCTCGAAGAGAAAAAGTCTTGCTACAGATATAACATCACCCCCTCACACCTGGGAAATCTTGAATCCTCCCGGCAGTAGTCTCTGGTAGACGCCGAAGGGATCGTACTTCTTTGCGACCTTCTTCATGAACAACACCTTGTCAGCACCGTAAGCTGAAAGTGGATCTTGGTCCTTGTCGGCATAGTTAAGGTAAAGGTATTCTACTCCCGTACTCCTTTCTGTGGCAAACTTCCGGATGCCATCGGTCAACATTTTACCCAGGCTAATGAACAGTTCATCATCCTTAGCTTCAGACCAAAGCAGGTAAGACTGGTACATGATAAAGTTCTCGCTGTAGCGCTCCATGCCCAGCACGTTGCCGCCTCTGGCTGTACTGTTCGCGGTATAGCTTGTGGCAAAAACCTGATGTAAGCACGAGACGCGCCATTGGCCAGAAGCCTTGGTTTGAAGCTCCGTAATGACGGTGTTGTATAGACGCGCTGTCTCTTGAAGAGTCTCGAGATCGATCTTGAACGAAAGAGTGCGAAATTGAACCCTAGTTACTCGCGTTAGCGATATTTCCACAACATGCGTACTGGAATACGTACCTTTTAGTTGTGTCACTGCCAAATTCTGCAGCGATTGCACTCATCGGCTGGATTTTGGTCGAATCGCTGAGAGTGTTGTTGACTGCAAAGAACTCGTTGTATGCAGCTGGGCGAACCACAGGCTTGGTGTAATCGAAGGCCGCTCTTACGACGTCCACGGGACTGGCTGTTGAGTATCCTTGGAACAGGATCAAAGCAGCATTTGGGTCTCTGTTTGGATCGAGACCAAAATTAACAAGCGACTTGAAGTGTTGGTTGACAGTGGATGCAGGCCAGGAAACAATACCTCCCCAAAGATCCTCGTTCTCGAAAGTCTCCATGTCGTATCGTGTCACGATGCCAAAATTGCTGTTACCGCCTTTGAGAGCGGTGAACAGATCTGCATTTGTCCGCTTATTGGCATTCACGATACGGCCATCAGCAAGAACGACCTGGAAATTGATCACGTTGTCGCAAGATAGTCCAACGCGAGGAGCGTAGTGGGATATTCCACCACCAAGTAGAAAGCCGCCGACACCGACAGTGCTTCCTCGGCCTCCAGCTACCATACGTCCTAACGGCTCTAGAGCTGCGTAAACAGAGCCCCATCTCGCTGCTGGCAAGATACTTGCTATCTTGGAATCAGCATCGTAGGTAGTTCCATTCATATTCAGCAGATCAATCGTAACTCCATTTTCGATGTTATTGGCCCTAGGGATCGGGGTGTGGCCACCGGATCGCACGGCGAATTGGCAAGTCTTCTGTAGACTGGCAGCCGCAAGAACCTTCACGATCGTGGAGACCTCCTCGGCAGTTGTGGGTTGCACAATGCAGCTGGGTGTTAATCTACTCTTTCCATCGAAATAAGAAGCAAGACTAGCATTGTATGAGTTCTGACCAGGGTAGGTTACGCGCTTAGCTACAGGACTTGAAGCCAGAGCCATACACTAGAGAAAGTCAGAATAGCAACAAAAGATGATGTTGAGCTTACACAGTAGCCGGGGGAGAGCCATGGGACTGTGGGTGCGCTTCCATTAACACTTCGAGCGCACGCCACGTTGACTAGGGTCGCAACGAACAAGGTAAAGCTCAGACAGAACATAGCGGACGGACAGGTTGTGGTCAGCTATCAACAATGTGGTCGTCTTGGCTGGAAATCGACTAAAAATCTCGCTCATGAGTTATTTGACATTGCTCCCACGAGTCGGCCAGATGCTCGTCGAAGACGTGAAAAGTCATTGACCGAGGTAGCAGGGTTGCGGATATCATGATCTCTGCGCTTCCTACGATTAGACCGTTAAAGGCCTTCGTGCCGACAGCACAGACCCAGGAAAGCGGATTTGGAGTCTGCAGTGGGCTTCGTGGCGAGATTTAGCATTGTAATCATGGGAAAGAGCGGGGAATACAAGTGATAGAAGGAATCCCAGCGGAGGAACTGACTAATGAAGCCTAGACTAGTCCTAAACAGGTAACGTCCAGGCTGAGCCCTGCGGCAACGGCTGCGGCGCGGGTCGCGGCGCAGCCTCCACGGAGAAACAGACATCAAGACCACCGTGCCGTCGTATCAAGCAAGCTCAAATGACCCAGATGTTCTTTCAATAAGAGTAAGTACGAACGCGGTTGAAGAGACGCTTGACTCGCAGCCCGCTCACCGGCATTCATCGTGCCTAGGTAGGCTCGGCATAGGCACTAAACTTCACGGTCGCTTAGAGCAGTGTTACCATTCGCGCTGATATGCTTCAGCTGAAGTCCTGAAAGCCACTTGTTATCTCATTAATAACCTCGCACATTCAGGCTCGCAGATCTGGAATGACGCCAAAGGGGCTTATCTACACGCGCCCCCGGTCGATCGCTGTTTGACCTTCGACACCTCAGGAAAAGCAAAAACGAATGGTGATTTGGCTACGTATTCTCAGCCGCACTCTACACCTAGACACCTATCCAAGTAAAAGAAAGGTTATTATTGAGATATGTGATCCGCAAACCAGTCGCCGACATCATTTGCGCCTGTCCCGTGAGCTCTCTTATGTCGCTATGGAGTAGCGTCCGATTGAACGTAGTGGAGCCATGGGCCAAAGACCTATGCATTCGTTGATCGGCAATGGTAGAAAACCTCCTACACACCCATTCCATGTCTTCCTACAGGTGCAAGATCTTGAGCTAGATTATACATGCAGGTTTGGCTCTAGAGTAAGTCAAAGACCTTTCTCTTGCTTCCTTCATCTTTCCATGTTGACATCGCTTCCCCATTCATCAACCCCACCACGTAGCATTCCCCAACTAACTTATGATTTTGATCCACAGTTCTAATCACATATGGTACGCGTCCGCCAAACAGTATCGCAATGATATCTCCTTCTTTCATCGCGTCTGGCCCAATGCCCATCAAGCCATTTCTAGTCACGAAAAATCGTCTATCGACGCAAGCCCGAACGAACGCCTCATGAAATCGCCCGGAATCCGCACTATGTCTCGAGGCCCGTGGCATACGTTGCAATAAGGACGCGATGCGAGAGATTTGGGTGTGTTGCGCGAACCAACTTACAGCGTGGCCAAAGAAGCCCGGATCGTTGTTCTGGCCAGCCGTCAGTGTTTGGATGAATGTTCTAATCACGGCCTTGTCCGCGTTCGAAGCTGATGCTGTCTCAGCAGGCTCCACAAGTCCCCATGCCATGTTTACGAAGTCGACCTCTTCTTGATACGTCACATAGCCAAAGCCGTAGCTTGCAAGCTTATGACCGTAGGCCGCTACATGGTCGACATCGATGCCCTCGAGCGAAAGTATAGCAGAATTATCACTAAAACCCATGGATAGCGACCCGTTTCCGCTCGCGTTATAGTTCTTGGCAGATGGCATAGTTGTCAAGGTATTCGAAGCTTTGTTTTGACGCCAATCTGGGACCCACGATGGCCATGATGGCTCCAAGGGTAGTCCCGCGTCCGAAAGGACATCGAGACTCCCATGTTCAATGATCAAGAACCTAGCAACATCACGGTATACATCGAGGACGGGCTTCTCATAGTCTGGTTCGAGAAGCTGGTGAAACCCATGTGCTTCAACATCAGCTAGTTCCGTTGCTATGCCGAACGTCGAATACACTTTGTCTCTAGGGTCTGTGGCCAATCTGTTGCGAAATGCCTGGAGCAAATCCAATAGCGCAATCTGCTTGCCAGGCGAAGAACATTGCTTCCACACTGAGACAGCCTTGGCAACCGGCAAGAGGTCCTGTTGATCTTGGAGTTCGTATTTCAACACTGCAGGCAAGGCGTAGCCCTTAGTCTGGAACCATGAGGCCGCATCTCCGATGGCTGCCCAATCGACTTCCCAGTCGCCTATCAACACCATTGCTCTGCTCGCGAGGACTGCCTCCTGCACCACCCACACTCTTTCAAACCAGGGGTTCGCGAAGAAGTCACGTACAATTTCCCAATCCGGGGCGTTAGGCTTGGGAAATCCGTACGCTCTGTTGCGCTGGAGTGAGTTTTCAGCGGGTGTGATGGAGGCCAATCTGTTCTGTGGCCTTTTCACGTTCCGCAGCGCTTGCGCAATGAAGGAAAGCAAGACTGGTATTCGTCCATACGTGCTGATGTGAATACCAGACTCGACATCGAAGTTCGAAATGGAATCTGGTAACTGCTTGTCTTCTGCGCCGAGCCATATGGTGACAGCCGCGGCACAACTATAGATTTTGCCCATCATCTTGACCTGGCTTGCCCTCTCCTCGTGATTGGTCTGATCTATGCAGAGAGCATCGATCCACAACAAGCTCTCTTTCTCCCATTCACTTTCTTGATATTGCTCGTGTCGGCTTCGTGCGAAACCCTTCCACGCGTTCTTGCTAGAATGCAGTGGGTGATCTTTAGACCAGGGTACGACAGAGCGCCATCCTGGGGTACGTCGCAGATGTATGAGAGTATCGGCCAATCTTTTGGTGATAGCCATCTCCGCACCGTTGCAGATTATAGAGGCTGCGTCTTCGGACTCACCCCAAACATACGAGAGTGCATGATACGGGGGCGACTCAGCCAGGTTGGCCACAGTGATCAAAGCGCATTCTATGGGCTCATCTTTGAAGCCAGGTTTCACAAACAAAAGTCGAATAGCATCGCTGCCGAGAGGTTCGTAAACGGTGTGTCGGACGCTGCGCAAAGGCATAGCGCGACTGGGGAACGCGTACGTGGATTTGCGAGGGCATGTACGCAGACAATAGTTCTTGCAAGTGATTTCTCAGATAGCAAGGTGAGCTGGTGCCAGGCGAAAACGCTATGTGGTGAAGTGAGGAAAGTTGCCTGCGGCTATTGGGGATGGTGTTCCTTGTAAGGCCGCCGTCTTACCTGAGCAGGTGGGGGCTGATAGCGCACACACCCCAAACAAAGGAGTGGCGTGCACAGCTTCCGCGTCAGCCTACCGACTGCGCGTCGAAGTGGCTATGTTGTGAGAGCTAACTGCCCTGGAGTCAGCATTACCATTTCTTCATCGTGCACGCAGAGTTCATTTGTATTCTGTGCTGCTTATCTATAAGAGCACATATCGTATCGCGGGCTATTGCAGTCAACAAACAACGATGGTTTTCGCATTCGACCCTAATGTTATTCGGGACAGACTGAGGACGGACATAGGTTTGCGAAATCTTTGTAAGCTACCTACTCAGATATCGATGGTCGAATACAGAGACAAAACATGCTAACGTCCATTAGCAATATATGCACAATGGTACGGCGCGCTCATGAGGGATCGTGATAAGCAACTGATCATCATAGGGTATCTGTAACTGCAGCGACCTTATTATACTTGCCCACATTCTACGCACTTTACCGCTATCTTGTTATCCTTGATAGCGATGAAGTTCATGGCTTTATGTCATTGCTTGATCTTACTCTGGACTTGGGCCCCTTTAACCTGTACGTAGTAAGACAAGAACTTCATCACATGTTTCTCACAAGCGCATAGTCTGTTCCCTCTTGTTATTCTAGGGGTGGAACTTCCTCATTATATCCGCCCTCAACCACTCCTATACTGGTCAACAGCCACGTGGCTTGCGATGCCACCTCGTTATCTCTGCGAATTGTTGGCTCTTGAACATGAGAATCCTTTCAATATCCCCACGAAGATCAGAGTCGCATCGGTTGTCGTCTTCTTTTTCTGCCTGCCCACGCTTATGATCACATTGGCAACCTTAGGAATCCTTCTTGAGGGGTCAAGGTTCATACTGCCAAACATACTGGCAGGGAGGGTTCTGATCAATCTTCTATACTGTATACAGCTGAGCCTCCCTGCTGTATCCTACAGCTTCTACAGATTCCGAGTTGAAGGTGGTTTGGTTAACGGGTTCATGAGTCTGCTTTTCTGGTTCTCAGCGTGCCTGTTCGGCGTAGCAACCTTGCTGTATATTGCTGCAAGCAGAAGACGACACTTTTATGTATCTAGTACGTTGTTGGGAGGAAACGGCATACAGCCCATGGTCCTTTGGCTGCCGGGAACAGGACCGTCTCATCAGTCTGTTGGGAACGAGGCTCAAGAGGGCACGATCCGGCTAGTGTAAGATGTATGCAGCGAAAATTGTCTGTAGCAAGAATTCAATAGACCATCATTTATAGCCCCTCGTTTCGAGACTAATGAGTAGCGCTAGCAAGTCTGATGAACTCTTCTCTGTGCTCGCTAGCCCACTCTCGGAAGGTCAACGCCGGTCTTCCAAGCACATAGGGAACATCGTCACGAATAGTTCCGATATAACCCATCCGGCCATCGACGACTTGCCTCATAAAATCAACTCCACCCTCAGCGTACCACCGTTCCGCTCCCGAACCCGGGGCTGAGACCAGCGCCTTGAAATCGTCCGGTCCTTTGGGATTGAAAGCAATGCTCCGACCAGTGACCTCACTTAAAATTATCGCAACCTCTGAGCCGTCCAGTACATCAGTGCTCATCCAGTAGTCGCGTTCGTGGTGCTTGTCAGGCCCTTCTCGTAGAACGGCTGCCGCCATCGCTGCGATGTCGCTCACCGCGATCCAACCCACGCGACGGTTCTCGACGTAGAGCGTTAACTGATCTGCTTTGGGTGAAGTGGCAGCCAGGAGGTTGTCCATGAACATATTGGGGTGAAGGTGCGTCCAAGCGAGACCGCTTGCTTTGATGTAGGTCTCGATGAGCTGATGCCAAGCAAAGTGCGGATCTGTGGTATCCCATTCGCCAAAAATGCCCAAATGAACAATGTGCTTCACGCCAGCCTTCACAGCGGCGTCCACGAATGTCTTGCTTTGCGTCAACATCGCAACTGTGTATCCGGTCAACAGGAAAACACGTTCCACGCCAGCTAGAGCGAATGCAAAAGTCTTCGGATCGTCCAGATCCAGATGTACGGCCTCTTTCCCTTCATTTTTGATCCTTTCCACTGCTTCTGCACGCCGCGAACACAGGCGAAGGCGAACATCTGGAGAGTTCTCGAGGATTCTGACCACCAGTTTACCAATCTGGCCTGTCGAGCCAAGGACTAGGACTGTCGGCTTCTTTGAGGAGGCGTTCATGTTTTCTTTCGTTTTCGGAAAGGATGGTTACTTGGATCGTATGGGTTGTGCGAAGGATACTGGATTTCCAGACGCAGAAAGAGTGCGTTTATGTATTTTGGGCGTCTCATTCCGTCTCTAAAAGTTGCGCGCTAGATCATTGCCACCGGACAAGTATATCATGTTGGCCTTGAGAACCTGACGGATTGCGGAGTCGGAAATAGGGCCCAGGGACGCTAAGTAATGGCCCCTGCCCCTCTTGATATACTTTGGTGCAGAAGATCCACACCTAATGACGCATTTCGAGCGAGCCCACAGTGACACCACAACTCCTCGCGCACGTTACAGTAATCCGCTGACAAATTTAAAATTTTGAATTATAGTGACTTGCTTGTTTGCCATCGATACCGGAGAGATGCCACAAATTTATCGAATGCTACCAGCCAGGCCCACTAAGACTACATTAGATCGGTAAACCACACAGCTATCGTATCCCTTGACTGCTACTCTCGTATGCCCTTCATTGGCATACAAAATCTGCTGCAGTGTAGTTTGCGGGGTTTCCAGTGAAAAACGTTTTCTTTGGGTATTGACAGAGCAAGCGTTCCTTATCCTCAGCGTTCCTAGCAACAAGTGTTTCGGGCGCAATACCATTCTCAACCCAGTCGACCAATGCAGCAATTTGATAGCAACGAATTCGGCCCCAAACATAACTGGACAAGAGATAGCACCGGGCGTGCAGTTGCCAATTGCTTGATACGAAGCCATAGTAGAGAGAACGAGTGCCGATTGACGACAAAGGAAAACGACTGCTTGAGATGAGATGCGATGCGTATGATGTCTATAAGGTAAAGCGACTAGGTCAGCTTTATACCACAAAACTACTACACCCTTTGAACGGTTAGATATGAGTCGTCTCCGACTCCCGAACAATCTCCTTGAGACGCAAATGAGTCGTACGGATGCGGGCTCTGTGTTTATCCGACGGTGATTCTATAATAGTAACTGGATGAGCTTCGGCATACTTGAGATGTGGCAGGGCCAAGCTCGGGCTGCTTGTCACGACGTTACGACATCACTTTACTGGCGGTGTCTACTACCAACAACTGGGTAATCAGAAGGTATTCTCACTCACTTGAAGTCCTACTCGCCCACGCTCTAAGATACCAATTCTTGTCGATGAGATGGAGAAATTGCAATTCATTGCCATATCTTGAATTGAGACGTCACTGTGAGGGCAGTTGCCTAGATGGTAGCGTCCTGGACTGTTATGACTTGAACTTGGCGATTCATATTCCGGGCAGTCTGTCGCCCCGCGACTCCGTCACTCCGTCACTCCGCTAGTCGGGCTAGTTCCATCAATTCGAGATGTTTCGATTGGACAGAACTAGCGTCAAGGCGATCGATGTGATTCAAATGTCTCGTCCATCCCTATCTCTTTCGCTCTTCCAACCATTCGCCTGCCCGCTTAGCCATATTTACAGCCTCTTGCTCGAATCCCAAGATGTGACCCAAGAGTAAGAGATCGTGTGGAACGTGCTCTTCAATATCAAGCTGTACATCATTACCTGCTTGCTTCATCTTCTCAGCCCATTCGACTACGTCAAAGTATAGTATCTCTCCCCCCCCTCCATTCACCCAGATAGGCACCTCGGTCTTGAATGTTCGGTTCTTGTGCGAAATGTATGGCTGTGACAGAACCTGCTCGCCAGCTTCACCAGCATATGCCTGGGTGCCCCAGGACGTGAAGGGAGGAGAGAGGTAGTCTGTGGCATAGTTCCTATTGTCATGAACGTATGATGCAGAGGTATCGGCGGGGTTGATCCAGGGCGACCAGAGAAGCGCTGACGAGGGAGCAGGTAGACCGAGGTCGGAGCCGTACTCGGATATGTAGCGAAGAAGGGAGATGGCGAGGTTGCCGCCTGCCGAGTCTCCGGAGAGTATGATGTTCTTTGGGGATATCTTGAGGTCGTTCAAGAGATATAGGTAGGACGTGAGGCTGTCTTGGAGCGCGGCTGGAAAAGGGTTCGATGTCTTGGATGCAGGCAGCGTGGAGAGACGATACTGAGGACAAAAGACGTGTGTGGCTAGGGTGTGCTTGAGAAGTTTCTTTGCGGGAGCCCCGCATTGTCCCGTCCTTCCATCTCCTGGTAAAAGTCAGCCACGGGGATGTGTATCACAAAAGCTATCGACTGACCTGTGACGAAAGCGCCGCCGTGTATATGAAGGACGACCTTGACGTTGCTCTTATCGCTGCCCGTGGTCAATGGCGCAGGAAACCACGTCGCACCAATTTCTGCCGGCACAACGTCCTTGTTGCTCCTCAATGGTCCTTTGTATACGTCATCCTTCGCCGGTTTGATGACAAGGAATCGCTCCTTCTCCCGGTCCGGTGTGAGAGGCAGTGGTGTCTTAGCTTGCACCGTAGCCACGTGCCATAGCCCAGAGAAAAGGGCGTGCACAGTGATGGCCTGTCGAAAGGTCCAGCTAGGGTGCTGGCGACCGAAGAAGAGGAATTTGACAATGAATAGTGGGAATCGCACGAGCTCAAGGCCCAGGGCGGCCAGCGCGTACACGCCCTTTACAGGATGTTGCGTGAAGTCCACCATCGTGCTGACAGCGCTGTCGATGAACACGATGAGGAGGCCATGGGTATTTTCGGAAGTGGATGGTTTATATCATAGCGGAGTTGGGTTCGCGCTTGCTTCCAAGATTGCGACGATCGAGGGGCGGTAGCTCCTTGCTCTGATCCGTACCGAGGTCCTTGGCACGACTAACTCGACCGTCTCCAGATCTACCCCGCGTAGCTCCTGCCCACTCGTTTCCATCTGCCACACTGCTCGCACCACTTAACGCGGACTAAAACATGCGCCCACACATCTGGCACATCTTCATCCGGGCTGTCCTCACGACAAAGCTGGATACACATCACATTGTCCTGTCAGATTGAATCATATGCTCCATCGTACATTTGATCCAATTGTTCTTACCCTGAAGAGGCTGACGATACTTTTCCTGGAATAACCCTTCCTATAAGATATCCACGCAGCCCACGCACCATCCTACTATGCAAGCTTCATCTCTTCCAATCGTATTCGAAAGTCAAGCTCGGCAACCCTCACGAGGCTTCGATTACGTCGCCTCAAGATACGTAATAGCTCAATCTTTTGTTTCGGTGTGAACTCTGGTGGAATCTCAAATCCTTGTTCCACGGCCACAGTCCTCAGGTTTTCCGCTACTGGGACAGCTTCCCGCCAGAATTCGATATCGTCTCGTGCCTGCAGTGCCTTGCCGATGTCTTGCTCGTTGGAGTCCTGGCCTCCCTTGCGCTTCTCACTACGGGCAAGTGTAGTGGAGGTTGCAGTATGAGACGAACTCTTACGAGACGGTAGAGTATATTCTCCACCCCGATCATCATTCGACGCTGCAATTCCTCCAATGGCGTCACTGGTCTGTAAAGTACTGTCTGACATATACCGCTCCCGAATTTCATGCTCATTGTCTGCTAATTCTCCTTCTGGCTGCTCCTCTTCTTGTCCTACTCTATGTCGAAAGTCACTTTTCTGTCCCTTGTTGGCGGATCTATCAGCTGTGGGTTGTTTGCGTCCATAGAATTCAACCAGCGTCTTGAGATCATCTGGCATCACCCACGAGTGCCGGCCTTTCGTCTTTCGACCGTGATCGATCCGCTTACGAAGACGTTTTTGTACTTCTTCGAGCTTTCCCGGTGTAAGGCTTGCCAGGGCTGAAAGAAGAATCAAGAATGGCTGGCCCCATGCCATGGCGTACTCAGCATGATTGTAGCTCAGACCATTGGGAAGTGCTTGCCACGCATCGTCGATGTCCCATTGTTGGCAGATGTTGTCAACCACCTCTCCCATTACCGAGTCAGGAGTCCGCGATATAGGTCTGTTGAACACGATTGGAGCCATCACGTGTGTTGATATGGAATACGTCCAAATATTTTGGTTACTCTTGGATATGGGTCGACTTAGGTCTCGACTACAGGGCGAGCTCGTCAACGAAAGTTGCGGTGGCCGTAAGGTCATTGGAAGGGTCTTATCATCTTGTCTGAAAGATTGTGACTGAACAGCGGCGCCATCAATCGCCTTGTATGACAAGTAATCGTTCCTGTGACTCGCGTTTGCGACTTTCATTTCAACACCTTTGCTGCGCTCTCGCTCTCAAGTCCGCGTGAATGAGATGATCGGAAGGAAAAGAGCCATATCGAGTATAATTCACTTCTGTTATATATTCACATTCTCGAGCTTGGGTATATACCACGCTTGCAGTGGACGTTGTGAGGGGTGGTTCTTAGGTCTTCGGTACGATTACATGATACTGAAGATTTATGAATCACGGGCACATCGCGATACTCTGTGTTTGAACATGCGAGCAGTTTGTATCGTGAGAGGCCATTGTAGAGTATGCCCGTCTGTTGTGATCGAGGCGCTGCCGTAGAAGGGCGGAAGAACATCAGAGCTGACCAAGCGAAATGACTGATCGTTAACATCAGAACCGTCGAACAATGGCGCCAAAAGTATTTGCGCTCCATCTCCAATCGTTGTCTTCTTTGTTGCTTGACAGTGACTATCACGTCCGGCTTTTACCATTAGCTTTGGTACAAAACATCGCGGTCAGAGCGTGGGTCGCCCAAAGGAAGGCACGGTGCCACCCGACGGAAACTCCCTGAGCACGTTGATGAAGAGACGGCAAAATACGATGGTAGCGTTACGAGTATAGCCTTGCAAGCTCTTCAGCCTCGGTCTAAAATGTTGCCCCTATCAGTACATTGGACGCGCTCTGTGCTCAGTATTAGATACGTGGCCAGCGCACTCAGTCTAGTTACTGACGAGGCCACAAACGGCTGCGTATGATCCTGGAGGGAAGTACGAAGAAAATGAAGTCCATTAGTAGCGTTCTCAGCGTTGAATTGACTGTAGACTTAGAGACTCGAAGCTTCGCCAAGTCATTGCGGATTCTAATCCGCCTGCGTCTCCGCCGAAAGAAGGCGAACTCAGACCATGTGGTGTCGCGTGCGTTCCCCGGAGATTTCCAGGACCAATCAGCCAGGACACAAAGCTAACCTTGCCCAGGGTCGTGTTTCCAAAATTAGTTGCCAACGCCTAAGATCAGTTTCCAGACAAGGCTCTCAGCGGAAGTGACCTTAACCCTCCCTCTCTCAGTCTCCATACTACATCGTATCCCGAACACGATGCTAGTTGCTGCAACGTGCACCATGGAAGCCGACATCCGTATATGCATTGATCGTGCGTAGTTGAAATTACTCCACAAAATATCCTTTAATAGCATTGGGTAGGTATCTCCAAGACTTATATAACGAGAGCATGTCCATGAGTGTCTACCATCATCAATAAGAGCCTAGCAGTAATCTACCACAAGACGCTCAACAATCCGACTATCTAGGCATCATGAAAAGAAATCAGTTGATCAGCCTCGCGCTTCTTGCGCCGAGCTGTCAAGCATACGTCTGGCCCAGCCAGTACGATCAGCTTGACGACCTCTTGTTTTTGCAATCTGGATACATTAAAGATGGAACACTATCGGATCGTACGTATCTTACACCCTCAATCCATTTGGCCCAGAGCTCACAAAGCAACAGAAGTCATGACCTGCGATTTTGGCGCTGGCCAGCCCGGTATTCAGAAAGCCGCAGAATGGGTACGAACTGCCTTCCACGACTCCGTTACACATGACGCCAAAAACAAGATTGGCGGTTTGGACGCCTCGATACAATACGAGCTTGATCGACCAGAGAACTTAGGTGCTGCACTCAACAACACCTTGGCCGACATATCTAGTTCAGTCGACATCAGGAGCTCCGCAGCCGACGTTTTGGCCTTGTCATTAGTCATGTCCGTGGCTCGTTGCGCCAATATGCGCGTTCCTTTGAGACTAGGCCGCAAGGATGCGACGGAAGCTGGTATCAAAGGCGTACCGGAAGCCCACACGGATCTCGACACCACGAGGAAGCGATTTGAGACTGCCAGCCTAAGCGAGACCGACATGATCACTTTGATTGCTTGTGGTCACAGCATTGGTGGTGTTCACTCTGTTGATCACCCCGAGATTGTTTCTGGTCCAGTCAGCGCAGAGAACAAGGCGAGTTTCGATACCACCCTAGGCGTGCTGGACAACAACGTGGTATTGGAGTACCTTGACAACTCGACAGCCAATCCATTGGTCGTCAACCCCAACAACACGTTGAACTCCGACAAGCGAATCTTTGCTGCTGACGACAACAAAACCATGCGCAAGCTTGCCGACAAGGCCTACTTCAAGTCCCAGTGTGAGGCTGCATTCGAGAAAATGCTTAGTCTCGTACCAGGCGATGTCACACTGACGGAGCCCTTGGAGCCAGCCGACATCCGTCCTTATATTTCATCCTATTCACTCAAGGACGGCTCAGTCCAGTTTTCTGGACGCATTCGTGTTCGCATTACGCCAGTAACTGGTCGTGACGCAGACAGCCTTACCGCTTCTATCATTCCGAAATCGCGTGGCAATACCACTGTCGCCGAGATCGCTGCTCGCCGTGCCACCTTCCAAGGAGGAACCTCTTTTGGATACCTAGACGAGAACTTCCAATGGTTCGAATTCGACCAGACGCTCAATGCTACCGAGGCATTCGACTCGTTTACCATTCGCGTCAATGATGACACCTACGACAATGGCGGCACAGGCGGATACCCTGTGAATGCCGATATTCTCTACCAAGATGCGCAGTCCTGCGTCGCCTGGGATGCGACCAAGCAGGAAGGCACTTTGAACATCACTGCTGCTGTATCAAAGGCAATTCTGAAGGGTGGTGCGACTCCGCAGATCAATGTTGTGAAGAAGAACAAGATCCAGGGCAACTTCATTCCTCGCTTGCGACCAGAGACCATCCCTATGACCCGTGCAAGCAAAGAGACGGCAGAGTACGTCTACTTTACTGCCTCAACAATCTTGTCCGCTGATGGACTCGCCCCTACGGTTGACATTGAAGTTGGTGACTCCAAGATGGAGTACATCACGACAACTGGTCTTACTCAGCAAGAGTGCGCTTCGTTATAGATACCCAATATTTAATGTATAGATTTCCTTCATCAAATTCATAAACAATCCATTCAGAATACTGCTACGCTAGCCCCCTTCAAAGACCACTTTCACCACGCCCAGCATGCATGCACTGCTTGCCAAATCAGTAGAAGGCTCTGCCTTAGTTTAGCCAGAATCTAAAGTGTATTGTTCACTTTGCAAGGCTCGAAACCACTCGAAACTATACCACGCATCGAAACCATACTACCCAGGCTCCGTGCATCTTATCTCACCCTTCATTTGAGTAGTTCGATGGTTTTCAGAACAGTGCGCAGCGTTCTTAGCGTCTGACCCATGACTGGTCAGAGTATACACTTTTGTACGCCTTTATCTTCGGCGCTGTTGAAGTCAAGACAACTCCGGAAGCATAGCCTTCTTAGTGTTGCCAGCACGCAGATTTAGCGAAAGAGATTTCTCAATGAAAGCAAAACATCCATGGTACATGTCTTCTCTCAAGTAGCATACATATCCTGGCTGCTAGAGAGGTTTAGCGCGCGATCACGGTGCTCAGTGGTATGCAATATAACTACACACGTCCCGCGCTAGTCGGTCTTCCAGGTGCATAAAACTCTTAAATGTCTATAAGACCAATCCAAGCTCTAAGCCATTCCTCTTCATCTAATGATACATCATCCACATCAACCACACCCAGAACGCCGGACTATACAATACAACCCTACAACTTCGATGAAAGCTTTCCGCTCTTCTGCGCAGTATAGGTGGCGATGAGATCCATCAACGTTGGATTCAGTACATCGTATGTCTGGAGTCCCTCCTTCCTGAACTTCTCTCTCACGGCATCAATCTCCTTGGGGTTGAAACCTTGCTCGATGATGCTGCTGACGAATGCCGCGAATTGGGGCTCCTGCCATCCCTTCTTATCGCTGAGTTCGGTGTGCACAAAGTCCAAGCCCTTGAATGGATGGTCGACCACGATGCGGCCAAAGAGGTGAACTCCGCACTCCTTGCAGGCATTGCGTTGGATGGCCGCCGACTCGTCGATTATGTGCAGCTTGTTACCGTTGGCGGTTACGGAGAGGGCATCTACGGGAACGACACCGACGACTGAGAAGAGAGCGCCCTTAGGCTTCCAGCATTTTGAGCAGCCGCAAGCGTGGTTGTGCGCGACGTTGCTGGAAAGAGTGACTTCGACCTTCTTGGAGGGGCAATGGCAGTAAAGCTTGCCGCCGGGGAAGTTGGGGTCGCCCTTCTTGATACCGTTATCGATGGCGGGATGAATAGATGGCATGATGGGTAGAGATTTGCACTTGGTTGGTTTGTTGAAAGAGATGGTTGTGTAAGAGGGTTTGGAAGGTTGCAAGTTCGCTGTTACTCAGGTACCTGGCCGCACTATATACGGGTTTCTGTTCCACATCGAGACTATCACCCCCTCACCGGACTGCGCAACCGATCAAGAAAGGACCGCAGCAATTATGGTGCGATCGCATGCAAACTGATGGTATTGTGGACATGATGTGCGGAACCGCATAGTGTTACCGCTTTAGGTCACTCGGCCCTTCCCCGCCTCGCGTTAGAGATTACCACAATCGAGGAGCTTCGGCGTGCCGATATAGACGCTGCGGTGCCGCGGAGTTTCGCCAATACAAAGAGTATACATTGTCGCAGGAACTGGAGGTTGCGGAAAAGGGCCGCAAAATGTACAGATGCAATTTTGTTGGTGATGAATCTTAAAGTTCGTGGCGGACCCGACGACTGGGGCGTCAGATTCGCTCCCGGAAAACCCTGGATCTTGCCGTCTCCTCGTTTTTCCACCTAACCAGCAACTACAGCGAGCGCCTCCTGCAAGTCGTCCGCAAAACACATCCATCGCAGTAGTCAAAATCGTATCATACGATGACATCCAAATGAGTGCATTCGTTCTTAAGCTCCAGACGCGCAAGACGAACAACGTAGCAACTCAGCAAAGTCGCATGATCTGAGACAACTTTTTCAATTCTCATGAACCTCATCGGGTCGATTCTAGGGCCAATCAAACCATCTTCAATATAGATCCAGGCATCCCATGCTGTTTCAACGAAGATTCGCCTTTGCATCAGCTGCAGCAGCTCCGATATTCGCCCTCTGTCGAGACTTCAACGTCCACCATGAGTTGGGCGGCTATCATTCTGCTCTGGAACCACAGCTCGGCTTCTTCTGCAGCGTAACGTTCAGCTATGAGTTTGTAGCGCTTCTGATGCAACTGCGATATTTGTACATCCGCGCGATACTTCATGAGCCTCTCCTCTGGTGTCTTCAACTCTTCGTTGTACCCGAAACCGGGGAAATCGATGCGTTCTCGGATATCTTCTACCTTTTCCTTGTGCTTGGCGCCAGTCTGCGGATCCGGACTTGCTCTTGACCTCTCACCTTCAAACTCGGCCAGATATGGACGGCGTGTTTGTAGGCGCCTTTCGGGTTGGGGGGCATCTGTGAACCGCACATGCTTGTGGGACCTTCGCTGATCGTGATCCAGATAATCTGGCTGTTGCCGAATCTCTCCTCTAGATATATACGCTCTTGCATCGATTCTCTGGGAGCTGCTGAAGATGCGACGGTCTAGTTCGGGATTCTTTGGTCGCTCTTGGGCTGCGTCGCGGGTCATTCGAGGACGTTTCATTTCGTGGTTATGATCATCGATTGTCGCATCTCCAGGGCGCTTCTGTTGTCGTTGCGCCGGGCGAAGAGGCAGGCTGATTGTAGACCGTGAGCCTTTGGAAACCTGATCGACTTTGGATGGACTTCTAGGTCTAGTGTCCGTGGCTCTGGATGGTCGAGGAATCTCTTCCTTTGCAGCCGGTAGATATGGGGAGCGACCATGACGTACAAGCGCCATTGGGGTATCAAGCAGTGGGGTAGATACCCGTTGAGAGGCGGACGTATTACGGGACATTGAAAGTAAATGCCGATATTGAAAGAGTGTGGTCAAAGAGTGTGGAACCGTTGGTTTGTCCAAGCGTTGGTTCTGGACTAGTCGTATTGGGCTATCAGGATTCTAAGACAGGCGAAGTGAAAGTGCATTATCGAAAGAAGAGGACTAAATGTTAGAGAGACGTTTTCCGAGAAAATTCTGACGGATCAAATTGTACCTAGACACTGATAGCCTTATGATGGAAGTCGTCACTACGTATCTGTGCTGGAGCACTTTGCAATAGCGTAAAGGCTGCACCGACGCTGGCTACGAGTAGCAGCCTCGCATTTACTTGTTAAAGGGATCAAGGTTTGCGCTTTGTATGTTTCGGATTGGAGTCGAAGATAATGTAGTGTGATACAGGTAAGTGTATCAAAGTGCTAGGTAAAATGCTCTTCATCACTCCAAAGAACGAACTTCCACTCCCAGTGTCGTCCTGGAAACGTTGTTTGCTTGACCTGATAGGCTGGCTCTGTTTGCTTGACGTATTTACTGATCACTGTTCCGTGGTTGCAGTATGGGTCACACGATGAGTGGGAGCACCGTTCCATGGTTCCGGGCAAGTCGCACACTTTTCCAAAACTCTCATCTATGCTATTTGCATCAAATCCATCCTTCCCTCTTTAAACAAAAACCTGAGTAGAACGGGCCATCAAATCTCTTGCACCCACCCGATCTACCTATATTTCGAACCGAGTAGTCGCACAAACACTTGGAAATTCCCAACACTCACCATGACTGAGCCATCGAACGTACCTATTGATAGCATCACCTATACACACAAAGACGTCGAGTGTGTCTTTCTCGATCGACTGCTGGGCCGCATGACACCACTCTCAGCTCTTGCAGGACCAGCGCCGCAGCAACAGGTCTTAGGCTCGCTCGCGATTCTTCCCGTCGAACTACTTCTCATGATCCTCGAAAACCTTGCAGTCACCGATGTGATGCGTTTCCGACGCTGCAACCGATTCGCAATGCACGTCGTTGATACAGAATCGCCTCTTCGCCTTTGCTTGCAATTTGCACCAAACACCGTCATAGGAATGATGGCTCTCAGAATCTCTACGCACGTTACGCCACAGCAGCTATGCAACAAGGTCCTGCAGAGAGATTGCGACCAAATCCGGATCAAGGACGTTTTACCGGGACCAGCAATAAGATACACTGAGTACCGATGCGGACAGTTGGCGCAGCACATATACCTTCCTGCATGCACGCGACTTTGTGTGGAGTGCATACGACATGAATCCCGTGTGACGAACTGCGAGTTGACAATGGGGTACCAAATCTATGAAACCGAAGACTTTACCATGACACCGAGTTTTCGCACTCTCCCTGTCACCTTGACGAACGGCCTGAACAAGTTCAGAGCGGAAGCGCAAGAAACACTGTACACTGTTCGTCTCGAATCAATGAACAATCGAACTCATGATCTCATAAATCTTGAATGGGCTTTGAGGAAGCACGACTACACTCGACCCAGCGTCTCCGTCATCTCAGCTGTTCCGATCACCATTGCGCGACATATTCCCATAGTGGTTGCACCTTTGGTAAACTCGATGTCATTCCAGGTGGAGCAGGGATATTACTGCAGCACTTGCTTACACACCGAAGTTGAAGAGGAAGTCTATACCCGAAAGTCTTTCTCTGATCATCTCCGAGACTGTCGCGTTCGGCCTTTTTCCCCAGTATGGGAATTCCGGTCTAATTTAAAGGTCGATCTAGAAAGTTACGAGTGTGACTGACATAGTCTTAAGGAGGTGTGGGTTGCTTCAGACGAGACGATAGCATAGTCTAAGAACAGTGTTTATAGTCCAGAACCTCCTAGATGTTTGTTCTATATTGTCGCTATTGTTATGTATTGTCTCCATTTGATCTGATCAAACGTACATCATCATGCCGCCAGATCTCCTCTTCGACTTGTATACGTTCGAAGATCCAGGTCTAAGGATGTCGTGGGTACTGATAGACAGTTTACCAATCACCGGATGTTATGCAAGCTTTCATTAGTTCAACTGTCTTCCCAAATGAACGCGCTTGTGCCACAGATATCTTGGCATACAACAAAATGCCGCAAACTCGCAAGGTACACTAGGTTGAGTATGTACACCCATCTTGCGGAGACTTTGAAGCATAGTCAGGAACAGAACTGTTTCAGTGTCATCGAACGCGAGCCAAGTGGTCTGGCGAGCAGATAGTCGCTGGTCCGGTTCGGCCTGGGGGCATTACAGAGCGTCATTTGGAAGCGAGCATAGGGAAAATTGGCGGTTGTTGAGTATGTGCGGATGTAGCGAGGACCTCCAAGTCTGACTAGCAGTGAAGTATTCCCGTCGCAATAGGATTCCTCATGTTCAGGCTTTGCTTACTTATCACTTGGTGTCGTGGTGTCTTCTGGCATAGAGCTGATGCTCACATCTATGAGCGGGAATACTGGGCTGTGAACAATTAGAGACGATAGTACAAGGCCTGAACACTACCTTCTGATCCATGTGTACCCAGGACGTTCTTCAAGCACGTCACCAAAATGAGCACACGCGCTACAGAGCGGCTACTAGTTTGTAACTGTCGTCCTGGGGGCTACTCCTCAACTCTCGTGCACCCATCTCTTCGCGCCTCAAGATCAGACATGAAGTGTACGTCACGCTTCAAGCGCCAGATGCAGACCTGCCTGCTTACCAAGGACATGCCATCTCGGGGTCTCCGAGACATACCACTCCGCATGTTCTGTCGTCGCATCCCTATCTCCACTATCTCCTCTTGTCTCAATATCCAACATTCACAGCCCCATCTTCATACCGTTCACGCATGCTGCGATATTGCCATGGCGATTGCAACCCAGTGAAGCAGGCATGATGATGCGTAACTGAAGCAAACGACATCCTACAATGTGAACCCATGTACGGCAGAAAAGCACGTTGCGATTGGCTGTGAAGATGTTTGATGTCGAAACAGACATGGAGGCGGCGCAGCATGTCGCGCATGAACCCTGGGGGCTATTTTTGAAATGACGGGAGGGTGGAGCGATGGAGGAGCTGGGGGCCGTAAGGCTGGCGCTGGCGTGGCGGTTCCTGAAATTCGGCCCCCAGATAGGTCTTGGGAAGGTAGTCGCATTTGCCGCTTTGTACTTCGAGCGAGCGCGTCGTCCGTCTTACATCTTACAAAGGCATGGCGGCGGCTGCCGCGTCGTATTCTCGATATTGGATTCATCAGCCGCACGATCAGGTGGGATACCACTCCCACCGATGAGCATGCGTTGGATTAGTGGCTTGATAACTTGCATCAGGTACTGGTGGCTCAGCCCTGCGAACTCGGTGCTGCGCCTCAGCCGTCACCACCCACCGAACGATGGCTTCCCGCAAGTATGTCACAAACCACCACGCATCGACCACCGAACACATACCTCATACGCATAGCCATTGCCCAATCACTTGCAATTTTTCTGCCAGTACCTGAGGCCGGCACAGCCCTGTTTTTGTGACCTTATCGCAGCAAAGTATCCATTGCACTTCGGCTACCGACCCATAGCTGGAGAAGATTTTCTTGGGTTGGGCAGGGCCGCTGCGACTCCACAGAACAGGGACCCCAGCAAGCGAGCGCGACACGTTGACATTTGCACCGGACTGCACGAAGATATGCTAAGGAAAACCAAAGTATTGGACTGTGGGGAAGGAAAGGTCGGGTGGTTGGGATGAGGTTGGTTCGGACGGGTGTGCAGACGATGATTTGGCGATGAGTCGATGGACACGTTGACCAGCGAGCAGCCTCGCCAGACGGAAGGGGCACGTCCTGGTAAATGCGGGGAGACGTGAGCTGGCAATACAGCTTGCGCAATGCTTTTGTCTGTTTCAGAAGCCCGGACAGGTCCGACGATGCAGGAGAGTGATTATATGAGAGATTCGAGACCGCGCACGCTGGTGGGTATCTTGCAGGTACTCGATCAGGTTGACCGGTGAGGCTTCAATGCATGCACGCTGCACCTTTTCGGACGTGGACTAGAGAATTAGCTGCATATTGACCGGTGACAATGGAGCTGATGCAAGCTCCACAGGAGAATAAGAATATGCATATCATATGCAACTATCCATCATGGACTTGATTTCGTTGAACTGTCGTTGTTTAGCTGGTGTGGCCAGTTATGATCGAATTCTGCGATCAATAGAGTGGGGTTGGTGGTGCCGTTTGACCGGCAGCTGGCATCACCCACGGTGTTTGATGATTATCAGTCAGGAACCTCCCTGATGATGGTGAGATAGCTGCCGGAACATAGGGGACAGTTGTCAATGCACGATTAAGATGGAGAAGTGTTCTGGAATGCAGATGTCGCTGCTGTATTCTGGCTAGATTCTGATGTGGAGAGGTTGGCGGGGCCTTTCGGGCTGGACAGTGCGAAGGGCAGCAGCTCCTGTCTCCTGATGTTTGCAGTCTTTCTTCTACCTCAATATGATGGCCAACTTGTGTCTTCAATATGTGACGTGTGTTAATGGTAATTCGGTCGTTCTGCGGCGGACGCGCAATAACTTGTATAGGTTTCTCGTTCGATCTTCGTATCGCGGCTTGAAGCGAGACCGTTGCTATTATCGTGAGGCTACTATTGTAGATCACCAAATTATGGTAATATCACCGTGACAGTATTTTTGGCAGTGGCAACAACATCTGTTGCGAGCTTGTTGTGGTGAGGGTTGTGAGAGCGGCGAAGATTGAACACTGCCTGCCAGTGCGCAACACACCTGCCCGTTCAGCGCCCGTACCCCGCAACACCACCAAACCACCATCACCACTGTCCACTCTTAGTAATCATCTACCAAGACTCTATCACACTGGGCACACTTTCGGACATGTCAAACCACGATACCTCCGTTTCTCGCCACCAACCTGGCAGACCCTGACCTTATCCCGTGTGAGATGTGAGATTCCAAGGTTCTCATCCGGACCCTGACGTCTGCCATGCCCCGCATCGCAATCCTCCCTGGACGATAATCAGAATTCTGCCGTCAAGAACCTTGGTGATAAGACGTCATGAGTAACAAGGCAAGCACCCTGAATGCCATCAAAATACTTGACCAGGGCCCCGGCACAGCTGACAATGATGTCGTCCTGGTTTTATCCTGGGGCCGAGGGCATGTATGTCAGACAGTGGCTTTGTGGCTCAGTATTGCACTTTGGCCTTGAAGAAGGAAGTGGCATGACAGTTTGCGCGACTGCGAAATGCACTAGCAGCGCGCGATGCAAGTCTCACTTTGATATCGCGAGAGGGTGTATCAAACCCACAATTGTCTTCGCTGGGCGAGATTGAGGGTGCAGTGCGCGCCAGGCAGACATCAGGGTCCAGTCGCATACCAACAAAATCTTGGTAACGAGGGTGTTCACGCATCCGTATCCGGCGCCGGCGATCAATATATTCCTGGCCACATGATGGGAAACTTGGCTAGCGATAAGACAAGGTGTTGCTGGTGCCCTGAGATGTGATTGGTCATGTCTAGGCCGTAACAAAGGGAAGAGCCTTGAGGGAGCAGCCGAGGTGTGTGTCGTGTGGGAGTCATTGATGGATCAAGACTGTCTTGTGTGTGACTGTTTCAGTGTAATGTGGCTCGGTGGTCTCTATGTCTGGAGCTAGCACTTGCGCTATCGGCAGAGCATCTGCCAGCCGTTAGTTCCGAGTACGAGGAAGCTATGGAAGTAATACTAGTATTATTTTCAGGTAATGGGGCAAAGACACTTCATGATGGCAAAGTGGTGTTAGGTGATTATGAATTATTTCCATTATTAGCTATCTAGCCAGATCCCTTAGTCTCGGGCCAGCAACGTCATTCCAAGTATCCTCCGCATCATCAGGGTCTATTACCCTGGCGTGCATCATCCATTCCCCCCTCAACACCGCAAAGGTGGAGGCATGCAACTGTTTGATCCTCTCAAGGTATCATTCCACCGTTATCCTGCACTACCCAAGAGCATGTATAAGCAACGCAGAAGCAAAGCGTGCGATAAAGCATGTATGAATGTGTGTTTGGTGGTGGTGGCGCGCACCGGCGCGGAGCTTTTGCAGCGTCCGCCCGCGGATGTCGTGGTGGGATCGGAGTGTTCGACCGCGCGGCCGCTAGGCCTCGTAGCCGTAGATGGTAGTGTGGGTATCGTATTATTCAATAGATCGTATTTCGTAAGGCGCAAAGAAAGTCTTCAAGTCATCATTCATCGGTAGTAGCCAGACGACCGGTGCTCGCGAAGGTCCCGTGTCGATGGCTCGCGGACCTCGACAGCGTAGTGCTTTGCAGCTCGGCGCTGCTTAGCCAGGTCCTCCTCGTAGAGGGAGCCGCGCTTGGAGCTGGGAGTGTTGCTAATCTCGGCAAGTGGTCGCTTTGGTCGGCTGGTGCTGTGCTGTGGCCAGTCGACGATCTCACCGTTGCGTGATCGTGATGATGACTTTGTCTTGGTCTTTGATTCTTGGTCAACCTTGACGGAGTGGCTTCGTCGGGGAGAGGCGGGTGCTGTGCGGGGAGCAACGTAGTAGCTGCGGTCCATGGAGACAAATGGCTTGCGGGATCGGTGACGGATGCTGCGCTCAATGGCCTTGAGGAGGCTGCAGACTTCAACGTAACCGGCTGGGATCTCTACACGGACGAGCTTGTTGTCTTCCTCGACAGTTGAGTAGGTGGCTCCGTCCGACTTTTGGTAGATGTAGCGGGCCACTTGTTGGGCTAGGCCGTGACCGACCTCGCAGAGTTGCTCGTGGTTGCGGTGGACTTCGTAGGGGTTGTGGCAGTAAGCACACTTCCTGGCGTGCATCTCGAAGTGGTAGGCGGCCCAGCTCTCAGCAGTGTTGACAGGACGGGAGAAAGAGTCGACGGGGTCCTCGTAGAAGCCGACCACACGCTCCTTCTTGGCCGTGGAAGGCCGTGAGTGAACGATGGTCGGTTGGTTTGTGCGTGCGGAAGGCATCTTGGGAGATGATGTGGGTGAGTTCTTCAGAATAGACTTTGGGGAAGCCGTTGTGACGTTGTTCCCAAGGTACGGAATGGTGTTGGTGAAGTCACTCCCAGTGTGGGAGGGTAACTTTGGTGTGGTAGTGTTGTTGGTGTTCTGTTTTTGCTGACGGTGGTAGATGGTAGACTGTTGGTCGTGTGAACAGCAGGTCGTAGTCGTTTCGAGTGAGTTGGTTTAGATAGAGGGTCTATGGTGGGCGCGGATGGCATGGAATATATGTCTCGATCCTCTACAGCGGCCGCATGCCCAGGGTGTGGGTGGAAGCCTGAGCTAGGCATGGGTTGCCTGTGACCATCAGCAGGGGCTAGGTTAGCACCTCTTAGCCTCCAGGACTAGGGGGCCATGGCCTGCTAGCGAGGGCGGTGACTGCAATTGTTCCTCTCGATCCGTGCATGACGACGATGTCTTGGGAACCGCCGCTAGAGGCATGTTTCGTCAGTCAGAGGGCCGTCAACGGCCGCTGGTCGACGGCGCTGTCATTGGCGATGATGAGCTGTCGCTTCGCCAGAGAATGGGCCCAGGAGTGCCAGCAACCGCCGCATCGACTCGTGCCGCGCGTGTCAACGTGTCCAGTCGGGCAGAGAACACCTATGCTGTCTCTCCAACGACATTGCTCGCTCGCTGTGGATGCGGTCTGATTATTCGATGCTGCGCCTCATGTCGCTGTCCGCGTTCGCATTACGGTGTTGAGGGGTGGGCGGGTGCCGTCGCTGCCTGTTTTCTCGAGGCATCAGCCACGGCAGCCACACCCAATGCGGGCAAGACTTGTTTCCTCCCCACCATCGCTCTGCTCATTTGCGCAGCACTCGCACAATCTCACCGCTACACAAGTTCGCGCATAGCCACAACCTTCCGCAGCCAATCCGTCAACTAATGCATGCCATAGAGTGGCTGTTGATGGCTGTTGAAGCCCATGTGCAAGTTTGCGTGTCGCTGCGAAATTGCACTGTGCGCCGCTGCCATGGTTCAGACCGGCGGCTGCAACTCACGACGAGACCCGCAACACCTCATCTAGGGCTGTGCTAAAGGGCATAGCTTCGTCTGCGCCCTTGAACGCACACCAGTCGAGGGCGCCGAATGTGCAAAATGTTTGCGTGTCGCTCAAAGACTCATCAGACACCCTGCTACTCGACGCTTGCCGAGCAACGTGCATGGCGCTATTCACCCATCGCTCGACTCGCCTGTCTCTTTCTGTCTGACCGGAGTTTGGCCCCTCGTCATTCGTCAATTGGGCTCTCTGGTGACTCTTTTTCACCATCGGCGCATTGGCACAGCAGTTCGCCCACTTTACCAACATGAACAGGCCCTATGTACCAATGTTTTCTCCAGTATACAGCAAAGTGTTTCATCACGAGAAACACGTTGGCAAGCACCCGAATAGTACGTTTCAGGTCCAGCTGTCACTCGATTCTGCCCACCGTGAGTCAATTGTGCCCAATTTGGGACATTCGTGGTGTTTCTTTTTGGCGCTGTCTTATGACTCCCACTTTGACACGACGGTCGGCACTCCCCGTATGTCGGAGCCAGGGCTTCAAAGTGCCATTCGCGCTCGTACGGGCTCCAGGCACGGCTGAGTGGCACATGATCAAGTTGGTATCCTTGGCGGGAGTTTTTATGGGCTTCTAGCGTGATGCTGCTCATCATGACAGCCGCAAACACGGGTTCGGCACTGCACCGCCACAAACTCCCACTAGTTGCACGATAGAAAATTCCATCGTCATTCTGCCCCTCTCACGCACCCGTGCCCCCGTACTGAGACCCTCTTCCAAGTCTTGGATGCATGAAGATTGATGCACAAAGATCCGTTATCCAGAGTGAAGCTACGCTGTGGCGTCGTGGACAGGGTCTACTGCAGCCTAGGAATCTACGGCATCTTGGTTTATGGTAGTCGTGCTTCGGAGTGTACAACGTTCCGTTGCTCCTCGCGAGCTGTCTCAGTTGCCTTACAGGAACCAATCTTCGACGCACATGGTGCCGATAGACCCTTTGGCAACGTAATCTCCATGGCCTGTTCATGATATCATTCGTTCCTCATGGTCTGCTGATTTGACATCAGGTCTACCGCGATCCGGATCGGACCATTGACCTATCACCTTTGACAATGTCTAGGCAGCAAGTCCCCGCTCTGGCTGAGAACGACGCATCGAGCGATGGATATCGGCGGGGCAGATTAGAACAATCTGGCACCTCAAGCTTGGGTCGATTGGTGCTCGTGTTGCTTACCCAATCTTCTTGGAGAAGAACTCTAGCATGTGACCTCTTCACGTTCTAAGTATTGCTATACCAATAAAATTAGCAATATACGCTACCACCTGCAAGACTGTTGACCATATCCGGTGCGGTTCAGCCAGTGCCGTTTACATTCGACCGTCTAGCCACTTCTATACTGACAGTGCGTCAGGGTCCAGACAAGTTTGTGGGGTCATGCGGAGCGAGTCGGTCACGTGCAAACCCTTTCATCCTCCGAAAACAACTGACATCCGCCTCTTCAGCATTGCGCTTACTAAAGTCGCCGGAGACGAACGACAGCAGCAATCCGCGTTGCCTTCTTTCTTGGTTTGCATATTGAGTCCGGACTGAAGCTGATCTGTTGCCGTAGTAAGCGATAAAGCTGACCGAGTTGACCGGTTGCTGGACCCTTCATCAGCACAAACCTGTTCTTAACAAGATCGAACACCGCCAGGGGACAATCCTGTGTCAGCTCGGGCTATGCATCATCTGTCTGTTGCGCTTGCCTTTGGAAAAACGAAGTAGTGGCAAATGCATGTTTCGAAGTTCTCCACCTCCAGTGCGCCCAACGACGCCCCTACACTTGGCGATATATGATCGCACTCGTGAAGCGGCGATAGTAGATGAGCAGCGAAGAAGCGGTACACGATCAGCTCACTGCTGACCTGTACATGCGAAGTCTCCACGAGGACCGTCAGCCGCTGACTACCCCACAATCTGGCGGTCTCGCCGTTTCCGTTTATCGGGAGGTGCATTGTGCTGCTTGCTTTTCAAACTCAATCGCGCTCCAGACGATCGGAGATTTGTTTTGCAGATCCTCCGACCATCACGAGAAATCGCACAACTTGAACTATGGGCAACGCCCGAAAGCTCTCATGTACCCCAACAACCACATAATGCATAGAAGATGCAAGAGAAGGTCGACTTCTCTAAGATGATACGGTGAATAGATACCCAAGGCTGAGACACATGACCGCGCGTTTCAGCGGAACGGTAAGCCTTAGCCTGTTCCTGGGCTAGTTTGCGATCTGTGCTTCCACACCTCACACCGCTTTTCAGCGAAACTTTCAGCGAAGCGACAGATTTTGCTTGAAATACCTGCAGTCCCTTCAATTCTCTTAATTCTTTCTTTTCTAAAGACTCTGCCTTGACCGGTTACAGAAAGGAAACGACGTCGCGAAACAGAAAGAGAAGAGGAAATGCCACCCCGAAGCGTGTGTTTGAATGTGTTTACGTCCAGTCTTGGCGATGGCAATGGAGCGGTGAACAATGGTCGACATTCCATAATGGACAGGAGAGACAGCGCGCAGAGTGGTATGTTCGGATTCTTCGAAGTTACAATTGTACAACTCGAAATCGGTATTGCGATGCATTCTAACATGGCGATTAGACATTCCGAGACGGTCCTCTGACGGCTCTGTCGCATCGCAAGCCACGCCGCCAGCATCCACATCCCCGCTCCCGGCTTTCAATCGCCCCGAACTATTCCACTCTCTTCGTCCCATGGCTAGCACCGAAAGTTTGAACGGTTCTTTCACCAGCAAGCGTAAGTTTGAACTCCTATCTTCAGTTTCCATGTGGCGCGATGCAGGAACCGGACGTGATTCGCTACGCTGCATTAGCGCGCATGCGCCTCTCCACTTTATCCCACAATTATCGCGGCCGCTTTCATGGCCTGGCACTTTAGCACCACTACACTCATTTCAAACATCATGATGGCGACGTCTTACTAACATGCAACAGCTTGCACAACATGCTCTGGTGAACCCGCACGCCGCCGCTGCTCTCGCTGCAAGGCCGCTTACTACTGCGACCGCAACTGCCAAAAGTCGGACTGGAAGACCCACCGCAACGTCTGCGAACCCATCACGCAGACCTACTCCGCACCTGCTACACCCAACTTCTCCAACCCTGCCAGCCCAACCAATGAGTCTTGAAGATGCGACGCTGGACGTGTAGGCTATCGCATAGCTACACCGCCGCACTTGTAATCAGCAATGAAGTGGAGAACTAGACGGGGCGCCGAGGACGAATTGACGGAAGTGATATCAAGAGCAGGACTTGCTACGAACTAATGATACGGAATCAACTGGACATAGGGGAAAACTCGGGCGTTTGTGCTTTATTGGGCGTATGGGGTTTACCATTAGAAAGAGCAAAGCATTCAATTGCACTGCATAGCGAAACTAGCGAAATCATACTCATTATCAGCTTTTGTTTGGAGAAAGGACTTTCTACGCGTCTTTGCGAAACGTGAGGTTGTTGGAAAGTAATACGCGATGCTAGTTTCGGCAAGCGCGTTTGTGGACGGACTCACATATGTGGAGATACCTCCTTTAGGAATTGGCGCTTAGATCATAACAATGTAGTTCTGTGATATTGCCGCCGAAATGCGTCGCTGTTACTGACTCATTACCATACATATACGCTCACCGCTCCTGTCTTCAAAGCTTCCAACCCAGACCTACGTGTCATATTCCTTCGCGCGCTGTCCGCTGGGAGCCCTTGCACCTAGGTACGGTAGTTGTACGTGTGCCTCTCAAGTTGCCATGTCGGCGCACAATGTATCAAACTTACACTTGCCTTCGCTGGAAGCATGGTCTGCGCCTTTCGTTGAGAGCACGTGAGTTTTTCCGCTATATGATCGTGATCTCCCCATCGACAGAGTCTTTGACCTCATCCTTGGGAAGTTTTTCGAAGAAACCAATTTTTCGCACTGTATTTAGGCCAGCCGGGACAAGAATGAGGCCAGCGTAAGTCGATATCACCGCGGAACTTCCGTCCGACTTGTAACGGTCATAGCTTTTGGGTAGGTATCCCGTCCAAGTGAAATGCTCAGATAGCACCAGCAATACTGATCACATATATAAGTCATTAGTACTGTTCGATAAGTGTGAAGCCGCAAGGAGAGCTTACGAACGCATTGGAGGAGATGAGAACGATGAGTAACATCCGGGCATATTCCAATCGGGACCTCTGAGACCTGAGGGGGCCCTGTACGTATGGTTGGTCCATGGAAATAGGATGCGTAGAACCTTCTCAATGGTGGAATTCTGCCATGACTTTTATCATAGGTGAATGTACCGTATTGATCCTCAGACCTTGAAATGAGGCCAACAAGTATCCTTCCGTAGAGTGTGGTCGCTCCTTGGGCCACTTCTCCATAAGGAACATGTTCGTTCTTGGGCACGGACTCTACTGACACGAGAGTGCAGCAAGTTTTGTCAGTTGACCCGAAATCGACATCGCCATCTATGGAGGCCCATGACCATGATGGTGCTCTGTAAACGTCACTGCGTCTGCCTCGTATCCACTCTGATATTTTCCACGCCAACTGTTGGACGAAACCATGCTGCCAAATGCCTGCATGATATTCTCCGAGAACCGAAGCAAACGTTTCAGCCAAAGCTGCGATAGCAGGCAGTTTGTCGGTTGTTTTGGCCATAGCTCTTCGCGAATAATCGTTGACAATCCAAAGCCATTGCTCTAGGGCCTCTTCTTGACTCTCAGCAAGTTGAGAAACCAACATGGGCATTGGGTTATACTTCCAATCCATGCTCAACGCCTGATCTAAGCTCATCACACCTGCTGCACACCGCCATTCTAAAGTCGAGGGAGTGTACAAGAGTAGTCGATTGGCCATCATCTGTTCTTGTAAAGCCCATGCTCGCTGGCTCAATGGGTTGTCCTGCCTAGCAGCATGTCCACTGAAATCACCGATCCGAGCAGTGGCACTTCCAAACTGATCCAGCGATATTCGAAATGGTATTTGAACACTTGGAGATCTATCAGTAGGGCATCGTTGGAGGAATCCATCGGCTGCATCTGCTGCACTCGAAGCTAAAATGGTGACATAGGCCATGCTATATATTCTTGCCATGAACCCAATCTCACGGAGTTTGTCTTCCTGATCATCTTGGATGATGCATAGTGCGTCCACCTAAAAACATAGGTTAAATCATCCTCAAAAGAAGAGCAGCAGGGTTTCGCTTGGAATGACATCCTCCACTTACCCATAGATATGGTATCGAAAGTGAACGTGTAACAATAATAGCGTCTTTGATGGTCTGAGGAAGATCGCTGAGTTCCAAGTGTTGAGTTAGTGTCTCGAAGGTATGTGACCGGAGTTGAGTTTGTGAACCAGTTCCCCAGCAATACGAGAGGGCCGCGAATTTTCCAAAGGCTCCGTTCGTACAAAGTATCTTCGATGTTGCCACTTCAATGACACGTGTTGGGAGAGGTGAGTCAAGTTGCTCCGGGCAGCACTTATGAAGAGCACATTCCTTGATCCACCTCGAAATCTGGGTAGATGTGTTCGAGGGAGTCAAGTCCTTCTGCACTTCTCGGGCAGTGACCAAATGCGCTGCGAAGTTGTCGTCTTCAGCAAACAAATTAACGAAATTTCCATACTGACTATCCTCGGAATCTGATTTGTACGTCATACTGTAGACATTGCTGCCGGATGGAGTAAAAGCATCCCCCACATCTGCACTCAACGTAACCGTATATTTCTTGATAGGTGGTGAGCATGAACGTACAACATAAGCTCGTAAGTATGAGCACCATCGGCATTCGCTGTCTGTCTTCGCTTGTAGGTCCTCCTTAACGATCTAAATCAGCCCTTGCGTTAGCGTACGTCTGGACAGTGTACCTGACGTTTTATAGACGCAGAGAAAAGGTACTGCGACAAGATACTGACATCATATTCCAATTTCACCTTTTCACGGCGACCCAGTCTCTCAAAAGTCTCCGTATCAAAGACGTTGATCCAGCAGAACTCGCAGACCATCGCTTGCACACGCTCGAGCGGCTCTGGTACGCGCATCATCATGGCACTCATTATCGCAAGGCGATCCGGTTCAGAAGCGATATTAGCAGTTTGTTGTGATCGGATATGTTTGGATGAGCAAGGTGGGGTGGGCTGAACAGGAAGGTTGAACCATTTTGAAGCCTGAGGTTGCGGGCGCGCCTGAAGAACCTTGTCAAGTTTGCGTATGACAAGGTGGCATCGATTTACGTTGTACACATCAGGATAAGAAATCTGCGCCCACGATTTCGCGAGCTTTGAACACATGAATATCTGGTTACTTGGTATGCATTAGAGATATACTACCAAGCTTTTATACGACCTGGCCATAAGGCGCTGTCCCGTCGAGTTTGAAGTATCCCGGCTGCAGCTTTTGGAATATACCCGCAGGGTCGTATTTTCTCGACACCTTGTTCAGCTTGGCTTTATTTTCCAAGCCATACCCTGAGATGACTGGCTGGTAAGGGCTACTATACGGCATGTACATATAGTCATTGTATGCACCAAGTTCTTTTGCCATAGCAACCGATGCACTTAGGAAATCTTGTGCCGCTTTCAAGACGACCTTGTCGTCCTTCTCGTCAGTCCATGAGAGGTAAAAGAGAGCATGAAATAGAGGACCATTTTCGGGATGGAGGCCAAGAGCATTGCCGCCCTTCTTCTGCATAGCCTTGAGGGCGGGCTTGCTGAACGCTTGGAACGAGACGCTGGGCGCACCAACAGGAATATTCGGCGCAATCTCGAAGAGATGGTCAGTCATGCGCTTCATCAAATCTGTGTTCAGCTTGAAAGACTGAGACCACATAGTCGTCCGGAAGCCGTCTGGCATGCTTTGGCTCAGCCCGGATGTCGTATCAGCGAGGCTGCAGTTGCGTGTGCTGTCTGTGAGTGGAGGAAGCGAGAGATACTCCTTCAGTATAGCGGGTGGGTTCACTGGGTCGATCGGGTCAAAGTACTCATACTCAGTGGATGCGATCTTAACACCACGAGAGTATGCGACGGCAACGAAATGCGCAAGTTTGGTGTCGGTCTCAGCAGCCTCCACCGCATTCCCAAATGCGTCGAATAGGGCGGGTGCGTAGGTCGCATTGTACTGGCGTTTGCTCGCAAACATAAGGCCTTGAGGCAGGGTCTCGTAGTTGAAGGTCGTAATGATGCCGAAGTTGTTGCCTCCGCCGCGAAGAGCCCAGTAAAGGTCTGGAAAGGTCTCTTGGCTCACTTTGAGGATGATACCTGACGCGGTAACAAGTTCGAACGAGGCAATGTTATCACACGCCAGGCCATACTCGTTGGTATGGTGGCTGATACCTCCGCCAAGTGTAAGACCGCCTACTCCGACATATGCCGCCTATCCAGCATCAGTTGTGAACACGAAACATACGTAGGTCAATATCCAACTTACTCGTCCGCCAACAATGGCAAGATTGTACGGTGTCAGGTAATCATAAACCTCCTTCCACCGGTTGCCAGGGCCTACAGCAACAGATGTCTTATCTGCAGAGAGCTTTTTCTGGTTCATATTAACCATATCGACAGTGATGTCACCCTCGATGCTAGAAGCACCAGGAAAGGCTGCATGACCTCCGCTCTTGATGGCAAAAGGGCATTGTGTAAGACGTGCGATTAGGACTAGGCTCGAGACTTCAAGAGCGGCGGTTGGCGAGAACGTGCAGTAGGGCTCCACCTCGAGTTGCTGTATCGACCAGTACGTTGTCGGAGCAGTTTCAGACGTCTCAGTAGCTCCAAAGACGAGCTTGAGAGAGTTGCACTTTCTGATATTCAGCCAGCCGTGTACAAAACAAGGAGTGTGACCTTACGGCTATCGAACAGCCCTTGGATGAAGATCTCACCACAAGGCCAGCTAGCTCGGGTATGGCGGATACATTGACACCGTTGTTCATAAGGGCCTCCGTCACATTGAAGTCGGCTGGCTCGAAGACATCCTGAGTTGATGCTCTCGCAGCTACGGCAAGAGCGCCAAGGGATAACTTTTGGATAAATCTCATGGCAACGGAAGTCGACAACCGTCAGCGCGCAGGATTTGGAGTGGAAATCATGCGGTCCAAACGCGAAGAGGCAGGCCTCAACTGCAGAAGACAATCCTTTTGTAGAAGCGATCAAACCCGCGGAGCTTTCACGCGAGCAGTGGAGTCAGCACTTGCAGGGCTAGAAACGCCATGGCGAGTTAACCGACTGTTGCTGCTGCGGTTGGAATGCAGATGTTGGTCGACCGGGCGTGCTTTCCTGTGTCTACTAAACCGTTCATAGCGCGTGTAAGATTATATGAGCTGTCCAATCGCGCGTTACTAGATTGTTACCTGCATGGGTAACAAGGGCTGCAGGACGCAGACCGAGCTGCCGAAATGTGCAAGTGGCATAGATTTCTTTCCATGGATTGCATTCCTGGCTAAACATGTTGAACCCGATCGATGTCGCAACAAGCACGAAGAACGCGAGGAACGCAAGTTTGTCTGCATCTTGTCGCCCCACGATTCAGTTAACACAGAGGCACTGCAGAAACTGACACATCTTATGCCCTTTGAAGAGGGAGGTATGTTATGGATAGAGCCGATCGAGAAAGAGGAGATTCTGGTCGCGACCACTCTCTCTCACCGGCGCCGTCTTGGCTGCGGCGCTGTTTGCGGGCGAACCCGCCCGCCGGTTCCTCTCTGATCTTCCCCTCCCCATTAGCACAAGTTTCTCATACATACAATATTCGCTCCATGCCGTCGCATCGATAAATGGCATCCGAAGAAACGACTAGCAAGCACAGGCAGGTGCAAGGCTTGCCGTGTTATCCTGGGCGACAATCTCGGGGAAGCTTCGCGCTGATGAGCCTCTCGATCACCTCAACCCTGCAACTGCAGAACGCGTCCACTCAAGCGCGATGTGGCGCGTAACGAAAGGTCGAGCAGACGCGTCTATTCAACTGACTTTGATCAAACAAGCAAAGGGATGAAGTTGTAGATCATAGCCTAGCATGCTGGCACGCCGCGATCTGCTGTACCACTAACATGTTCAAGTTACCTCGATGTGGCCGCACGAACTATTCTACGCATTCATTTGCATGAGCGTCTTACCATCGCTGGAATATGATGTGTTGGGGCGGTAAATCCACTAGAAAATCAGCAGAAGAGACGAATCGGGTGAACATAGAATATGAAGATTGGTCAAAGACACTGACTTAATAGCGCCGAGGTAATTGTGAATGCAATCACGACATCGGCAGTCAAGCCAGGCCACTATCCGCTCTGAAGTCCAGTACTATCCCCGTTGTGCGACTCAATGACTACAGAGAAGCTGAACAGAGCTATAAGTGTGCTCTTGTCGGAACTATGCTCTCATCTCTCATCCTATCTTCTCCATATACCTTCACCGAAACGTGCAGGATCCCTCAACATGTGTTCCAGCATTATCCCTCCTCCATGGCTGCGTCACACCTTCACACTTACTACATCTCAGATCCACATCCAGACAATCGACAAAGTCATGCGACTCAATTCCACATCTCCAACAATATACTCTCACCCCAATCGGCGGCGCTGGCGTCGGCCAATTCATCAAACCCTGCACCACAGACTCTGCCGACTTGCAACTCGACTACCCTGTCTGTCCTGGCTTCGCGACCTTGTTTACCGGGCATGAGTATATTTCGAAACGAATGGCTGAAAGGGTGGCGATAATGGTAGCGTACATGGCAGCATTGCCACTATTCTGAGGGTGGTGGACAGGAATCTTGAACTGCTGGAGGAGGTACGTGAACGATGCATCTGCGTGGCGCGTTATCTTTGCTTGCTGAGGTATAACTTGCGCGTCTAGAGTTGCTATCGTAGTAACTATACTAGAAGGATCGAAGTCAAAAGCTGTCTTTCGCATCTTGCTTATACTGTCATTGGCGCCGAAGGACATGTACACGATCGGTCGGAAGCCGGATGCTGCTTTCTTCTCATTCATGGGCTGATGCCAGATCTGTTGGAGGAGGTTGAGAGCTTCTTCGTGGGACACATAAACTGTCGTACCGAAGTGGAAAGGGTCTAGACCAGTGGGTGTAGAGTCGAGGTGCGCAGTGGAGCGGATGACAAGGTGAAGAGACCATACTTGGCGGAGTAGATCTTCGGCATGTGGGCCAGCTATGGGTTGCCCCTGGTTGGTGTTGGCTCTATCGTAGGTGGTGATTCCAAGCTCAGTGAGGCGGTGCGGTGGGGTTGCGGACCATTTTCGGTGGAGGGTAACCAGAACGGCGTCCCGAAGGAGGCCGGTATTGGACCTTTGGAGGTATTTGTGAAGGACATCTCGGTCTGGGCTTTTGGAAAGGACGTTACGCAGTGATTCCAGCTTTCCTGGCGTGAATACGGACATGATTCCCAGCTGCTTGATAGAGATGGACAGGAGCAGAAAAATGACAAAATAGTTGTGAGACTAGACCTAGACCAACTAGAGCGGAGTCCAAGAAGAGACTTACGATTGTAGCAGTGAAGGTGAAGGTGAAAGTGAACTTAACTTACATCTCTCAGTTCCATCTCCTGCCGCTTATCATGGTATTGATTTTGCGATGCTTCCAATGTAAGCAATGACCTCCCATATCTGTATCAGGCTCAGATTATAAGTCTGTTCTGCAGTTGGAAGCGACAGCACACATCGAGGCTGTGACATACATGTCTAGCATGATGTATCTGTATATTCCTAAGTCTGTGAGTTTCGACGACTTTGAAAAACTCGTTCAGTCAAACGGCCACCATCAGCTTTTGAGATATCAATGGCTGAGACTTGGTTAGAGAACCAGGGTCCTTTTTCCAATAGAAATCTCGTTCGTCTGCTATCCTCATGCAGAGGAAGGGCGAGCTCGGTTGCATGCTAGCGCAGTCGCTAAACGTACATAGTCCTAGGCCTCCCTAGATGCACCAGGTGGCCTTATCACCCCACCACTCTCGTCATTGCTTCAATGACATACCGTATCTACCTCAAAGCCGCAAAGGTTCAAAGAGAGTCAAGATCACGTCATCTCGGGTGCCTGGGTGTCAAAGCGACGCCAACAAAGTATTGGTAAGCTATCATCGGATAGAGGCAGTGTCTACACCCTGATTGGTACTGAACTACCTATGTAGCCTCACTACAATGACAAAAAATCCTCTCCGCGCGTTGAAGAAGCTTCTTCGTACTAAGATGCTACGGCCCAAACGCCGAACCCTAACTGACCTTCCGGTCGAGCTGATTGAGTTGATCGGAATGAAGCTCCTCGATCATCCGACTTATGAGCGACTAGCCATACCACAATCGACGCCGGAAGGGCGGCAGGCAATTTACCACACTCGTTCATCATGTCGATCTCTTTATAACGCCTTCATGAACATCTTCATAGGGATCGTCCAAGACATGCCATATCGTTGCACAGAAGAGGGTTTCCGCCCTTTGCTCCGGCTGTTACAAGTTCCCGATGTGTCAAAGAATATTAGACAACTCACTATTGGCGGAGCGCATATACTCAATTTGGAAGAGGAAGAGAAACAAGCGGCCTGGATAGGACAGGACTTGACGGATACTCTCAGGACGATACTGAATGTTTTACCTCACTTGGCCAGTATCAGATGTGTTCCAATGAATACGTACATGTTCGAGAAAAAAGACGTCGAGGAAGGTGGCATCGTACTTGACAACGATGTGGAGAATAACTTCCATACCTCAATGGCGATCTTGACAGTATGTTCAACTATTACAATAGGTGGTCTGGAAGGACACTGATGAGTAAGTGTAGCGCATTCAGAACGCATTAAGGATGACTGTTCACGCAGCTGCCGTTACTTCTTTCACGTTAAGATGCAACTATGGCCACAACGTTGAGTTGGAAGGAGCAATGTCTGATACAAAATGCAGCCGTGTAACTATTTTGCCTCTCTTTGAAAACCCCCACTATGGTCTCCAGCACCTTACAGTCGATTTGGAATGTCTCCAGACATTCGGCGTCAACGCGAATGGTCACATATCACTTCCCGGCCTCGAAACCTTGACGATTATCTTGACACGGTCCGAGATTGACAATGAAGAAATGGTGGGATTAGATATCCTGGCCAGTACGCAACCTCAACAACTCATACTCACTGGTCGTGGAGGCATCTCTTTGAGTCAACTTTATTCCCTCATTTCCCCATTCACTACTCGGCATCGCCCACCATCCCACCTAGTCTTACGCGAGACGGCCATAAGACTGGAACATCGTCACCATGACCCCAATCCGCCCCATCCGATCGGGTTTTGGCATACCTTCCGGATCAGTATCTTGGAGATCCAAGACGTAACATGGAACCGATATTTCAGCACATCTTCTAGGCGAAAGAGCCAGGGATGGTGTGAGACAGGTTGGGATCTGTTCCCTTATCTTTGCGAACTGTCGGACGCTGTGCGTGTACGTATATCGCTGGGCGGATCCAAGAAGGAATTTCTCCAGAGACCTGACGGGGCTCTGAGAATTGAGGGTTGTAGCGATTCCGACGAGGCCGACGAGGATGAAGGCACAGGGATCGATCAGGTTGTTGGGTGTAACAGCAACACATAGTTATTGGCGTGGGTTCAACACGAAGTGGAGTCGTACGATCTGGATCTCGCTCCAAAATTGACAATGACTTTTTCAGCCACCACCAGGTTTCTTCTTCAGCGCTCCTCCGAGAATACTTGGATCAAGCATCTTGGCTTCCGGCACGTCAACACCGCATCGCACCCACATGCTGCTCCAAAGCGCGCCGACGGCTCTCTCCTCGGGCATGAAAACGACTGTGTTCACGTATGATCGCGTTGTGTTGTAACAATCTGGCATGTTGAACAGTTGCGCTTCACAGTTGTCGCCCTTGTTCGAATAGAACACGCCGCATCGCGCTTCGCTTGGAAGAGTGATGCAAGTACCGTTCTTCCATTTCTCGAGGGGTGGCGGAAAATATGTCTTCTGTAGGAGTTCGCCGCGACAGTGCTTAGGCCCACCTGCACCCGCGTATGTGAGGGCAAGGATCGGTATTTGAGGAGTGGTCGGTGGTCGAGGCACCGGCGCGGCAGATGGTGTAGGCGTAGCTATTGGTCCCAAGACGCCTTCAGCGCTCCAACTGGCACTCGTCTGCGGTTCCGGGGTGAAGCCAATCAATCCTTCCTGGGTTTCGGTCATTGTTGTGGGTACTAGCGTCGCTCCGGATACGATGGTACTGCCATTGTACACATCACCGCGATCGAAGTCTGTGCCGTTCAACAGCGCTTTTGCCGCAACAACGTCATCCCCATCTCCAACTCTTGCAGCTTGCGCGAAATTGATCTGTATGATTTGTGGCGTTGGTCCGCGTACTTCGATGGCGGTCGCTAGCGAGATTGCGATGAAGAGGAGGAGTGATACAGACGACGCGACGAGAACCATACGTCGCGATATGGACGACATTGCGATAGCATTGGATTAGATTCGAAAGACTGAGGAGTTTGGGGAAAGACGCGACAAAGTTGAGGTGCGCAGACAACGCCAAGACGTCATCGGGGGCTCCTGCACTACGCGTTTCATCCCCACGTCCTCCCCAAACACCGTCGCAAAATAGCTATTAGCACATGTCTGACGGCCTGCTAGGTAGAAGAAGAGCAGAGTGTGGTTGTTATGTATCATCTTCTTGGATCCTGCATGACCCAAGCCTCCTCATCCGACAACATTGCAGAAAACGAATATACCTTGACCCTCTCGTCTTCATCTCCATTGTCGCTGCCTTCCTCAATCCCAACCTTCTTTTCATCTGCTTGCGCCCTAGAGACATTCCTTACGAAAGCTTTGGCGATGTTGCTGTCTATTGATTTGTCGAGAGTAACTTGGTACGATCATAAGTGATCTCTTCATACCGCCATGAAGATCTGTCCATGTTCCACCAGGACACAAAAACCTTGCATTTCTTTTTCACAAGTTCTTGGATATGTGGGAACAGAACAGCCTTGTATCTCTCCATGGCAAATGAAGTTCGTACCTCGACGGAGAGGGTAATCGCGAGTCGTGATGCATGCTCCGTGGCCGCGAGATCACTAAGCCAACTGACTTGTTTCTCATAGTCATCCTTTGTTGCTTTGCTCTCAGCCTTTCTCTGCAGGATAACCGCTTGATGATAGTTGTTGGAGCTAAAGTAAGGTTCCATAGAGACACACACCGAGAGCGTTCGGAGGTGGTCGAGAGGTCGACAGGATGGATGAATTATCAAAGGGCCGCTGTAAAGTAGAGGAACAACATCATCGATATGACGAACGTTGTAACAGGCACATCGGTTAAAGACTTGTGCGATCTCCATAGCAAACTCATTTCCCATGTAATCTCCGATGAAGTAGTGTTGAAGCTCATTGTCAAGCCCGCGGGCCTGGCCACGACGGCCACCGAGTTCCACATGGAAGAAACACTCTCCACGACTATTCGCCGGCAAGCTTTTGTAACGTGGTAGAATGTGGGCCGTTGGAGCACCGCCGATAAGATGACAGTAAACCATGTCTCGCAGCTCGCGAGCCAGAATCTCGAAGATCTTCGTAGCGAACTTACTGTTCCACATGCGCGAGTAGTCATTGTATGCCTTTTCGAAGGCGCTGAAGGGAGATGTCGTATTAGTGAACAAACTGCTGTATTGGGGAGGCCCAGACTTACGTGTATAAGTTCCGCTTCTTGCGCTGAAGTGTGCTTCGTCTGGATTCAAGTTCTTTAATCTCGATATCGACAGTGGTTTCCCTTCGATGGCTGAATGAGCTTCTGATCAAGAAGACTATAGCTTTGACTTACATCTCACAATTATCCTGGATCTCTTGCTTGAGCCTACTGGATTGTCAGACACTGGAACACAGCTTGTACGTACTATTGACGTTTTCTTACAGTGCCATTGTTTGGATTTTGGCTACGAGTTGATTCTTGGGAGCCATTTTCGTGCCCATTGCGTTGTTTAGATATTGGTGTAATGCGTTGAAGAGCGAAAGGAATTTCAATCTTTGATCTGAGAGATGAAGTTGATGGCATTATGTAGTGCACTTACGCTCAAAAGGCAAATTGAGAAAGCCGCAAGCTAGGCACGCTCACGTGTACTAAGATCTAGGCAAACCCCAAGCTTGGCAGTCATGCCTTTCTTCGTGAAAGGCACGGGATCATAATGAATGGGAATTTTATGAAATCATTTACGCCATGAAAAAGTGATAGATGTCAAGAAGAACACAGCGACTATGAGCAATCTTGGAGAGCTGCAAAAGCAAAAGCGATTGAACGGATAAGATATATGCTAGTCAAGACTCATCTGTACCTCTTCAAGCATCTCCGACCTCAGCCTTCTCTTTAGCTTTGTCTTGCGGCACCTTGACAACAATCTTACCCCTCGCCCTCCCCGTCTTCAACTTCTCAAAGGCTTTCGGCGCATCTTCCCAATCAAATACTGTATCAACAATGCCCCTCAGCTTATCCTCCTTCATCCACTCGCCAAGCTGCCTCAGCGCATCCGCCGACGGCTTCGCCATCAGCATCTGATAGCTATTCTTTCCACCGCCCAGAAAACCTGGTAGCAGCATATTCGAACCCACTGTCTTTATGCTATTCATGCTCAACGTTGATCCGATCTGGATGAACTTCCCGGCTGGTGTGAGAAAGGAAGATGCGGCTTTGTAGAGGTTAGGTGGCGTGCCGATGTTATCCACGACGAGGCTAAAAACCTGACCCTTGGAAGAAAGAGTATCAATAACATCAGAGGTTTTGTAATCGATGACTTCGTCTGCGCCCAGACTTTTGCAGAGGTCAACGTTGGGTGTTGAGCACGTCGTGGTAACGTGACATCCAAGCGCTTTTGCGATCTGGATGCCATACACACCGGTGCCGCCCGAGCCGCCGTTGATGAAGACTTTGTCGCCGCTCTTGACGTTTGGCGCGATGGCTTGATATCTGAGAATTATGTTAGTAGATCCTCCGGCTTCGTTCACAACTCGCCCGGCCTTACTCGGTCAACCCCACGATTCCCACACCAGCTGCATCCTCGACCTTCACGCCCTCTGGTAGTGTCGCCAACATATTTCTCTCCACAGCCACATATTGCGCCAAACTTCCTCCCGTCAGCGCACCGACTTTTGCGCCAAACACAAACTCGTCGATCTGGAACTCGTCGACCTTCTTTCCAACTTTGGCGACTTTGCCGCAAAAGTCCGCACCCGGGGTGATGTCAGAGCCTACAAGTCGCAGTGGCATCGGGCCTTCAGTCACCTTATGGTCGACGGGATTGATCGCCATGGCGTGAACTTGAATGAGAATCTGTTCATCGTGAAGCGTAGGCTGAGGTGCGGCGTCGTTGATCTGCAGGTTCTTCTCAATTCCGCCTTTTGTGCTATTATACTGCCAGGCCTTCATTGTGGATGCCATTTTGTTGCTCGAACTGAATGTGACTACTTGCGACGGTTTTCTGGTTGATATGATGAGTTCAGCAGGGAGTGCGGTCCTTCTTATCTCGTAGCGTGGAAGTAGGTATGCGTCATGACGATTCGCTTTGAGCGGGGCATGCGCCACCGCCGTCTGTCAACACGATCTTGGGAGCCTTCTCGTCCATCGAAGGTCCATGCAGGCGACTCGCGTTATGGCGCGAGCTGAACCCGCGTAGGGAGGTCTTCACACTGTTAAAGTGGGTTATGTAGGCAAGGCTGTTCGCCCAGCGGGCCGTCTTACTTGCGCCGCCTGATCGATGGAGCGAACCCACGTTGCCGTCTAACGCGATCGGGCGTATTCTGCGCAACGACCGCCTGGGGCTGACATGCTAGTGTGAAGCCACCTACTCGCGAGGCAAAGTAGTCTTCCCACGCCCAGTTCACTCAGCAGCTGCAAACGCTTAGCAGTCCGCGTCGGCGCCAGCCTATCCTTATGCCATACTCAGCGTCGCAGCAACTATGAATGTTATCGGCGAGGAGACGGAACCTCCTGAATCTCATTGTAACGATAACAACAGAAGAAGTACAGCGCATTGTAGCATGGACGAGTTGTTTATTCATGCGAAAATACTCCTCCATTATTTGGTCCTATACGTCCTCTTATACACCAGCCACCCTGTGTCAATCCTCTTACGCGTATGTAACGAACATCTGTTCGAAGCCAGTGACATTCCACGTCCCAGTGAGGGTGTTGAGCGTCAAATTTGTTGGGGTGGTGGCTCCACGTTGAAGCGCGCCACTCTCAACATGACCGCCAGTAGCGACGACAGTTCCGTTGGTCCTTTCCCTGAATGTGGGTATACGATATCAGTAAACGTCTCACATGAAGTTCGGACGTGAACACTTACAGGTGGTTAGCACCGGCTTTGACCGTGAAGTTTGCCAGGCTAATGTCGAAAGGATTTCGAGATGCCACAGATGGAGAGCCTGTATAAGGTCAGTATACAAGATGGTTCATGCAACAAGCGGACGATAAGGTAACCTACCATAGTACTGTGCGTTGAGCTCCTCAGGTGAGATGAATAGCTCGTAGTATCCTCTGTAGTAACCCTCGGTCCACTGCAGCTCGCGGTTGTCGCGTACGAGGGCTGCAGAACGATCGCTCGAGTTTGCAATAGATCTTCCAGCACCATAACCACTGGAGGAGACGGCCGTGCCGGCAAATTCGACGCCGATAGCGCCAGCACCTGTAGATTGGTCGTACGGAGTCTCGTCAAGCCAAACAAGATCAGACACCCAGTTAGCATGAGAATCACCAGCCAGGAAGGCGGTGTTCGGAATCTCGTTGCTGTAAAGATGATGAAGGGTACGGTTGCGGTTCGCAGTGTATCCGTCCCACTGATCAGCGTTCAGCTCTTCGTCGTACACAGCGCTATTGTTCATCCGAGAGAAGATGATTTGGTTTCCGATGATTCTCCAAGTAGCCCCTCGCTCATGCGATTTGGAAAGCTGGTTGTAGAACCAGTTTTCTTGGAGGCTACCCATTAGCGAGCGGCCAGCATCATCTTTGAGATCCGCAACGTAGTCGTCGTTCCAATTAAGAGTCGTGATGGATCTGTCGTAGTTGCGCGTGTCGAGCATGATCAGGTCAAAAAGTTTACCCATCTTGAAATTACGCCAGATGCGCAGGTTGTCGTCCATGTCAACCTGGCGAATACTATGTTCGTCGTTAGTGGAATTGAGGGTGGGAACAGCGAGGTACGTACGGCATCCACTCGAAGTATGCTCTGACCGCATTCATCTTCCTTGAGTCGACACTAACGCCTCCGAACTTTCGGAAGCTCTGCTCGGTGTTGTTCATGTTGCTGAAACCATCGCGATATCCATTGTTTGCGACCTCTGTCGATGCGTTAGTCGATTGTAGTTCATCAATAATTTCCACGAACCATGATCATCCCATGTTGGAATCCATGCAAAGTTTTGGTGTGCAAGAAGCAAGTCGTCGTCGGTACGGTACTGGCCGATTCTTGTTCGGTAGTCTACGAGACGAATTAGTAATAAACACATGCAAAGAGTGGTTTCGCACGAACCATATAGTGTGACAATCTCTCTTGACGGGTTCGTAGCTCGCGGATCCTGACCGAGTTTGCCTTTGGTGGACTCATAGATGTAGTCACCAAGATGAACCTATATATCTAGATCAGCAGAGCCGATAACGCTTTCATCGATTATACTTACAAAGTAATCTACCTGGTCCTTCCTGGCCGCGTTCCCGTACGCATTGAAGTATCCGTTCTGCCAGTTAGAGCAAGAGAAGATAGCAAGGCCGATCTTGGAAACATCGTCGTCCTCGTGAGGACTAGTCTTAGTTCCTGAATGTAGGCGAATAGAGTCAGCATGCTTCTCGCATACAGTTCATACAAGGACACTTACTGCCCAGCGGACTCTTGTTCGAGCTGCCACAAACATTGAACTGGTAGTAGTACTGCGTGAAGGGAGAAAGATTCTTCGCTTCAATCTTTTTCAAGGTCAGCTCGTCACTCAAGATGATCATTGCAGAAAGCTAACCTTGACAGTGAAGTCGATGTCGGAAGTGGTGTATGCCTGGCCTTGATCCGCGATGCTTGAGAAATTGCTATCCGTACCAACGCGGTAATCCACGCAAATAGGGTTTGGCGAGGCCTTGATGTACTTCTCCGTCTCGTGGTTGTAGAACGCTACATTACCCGTGACGGTTACATTCGACCGATCGTTCTCGAGTGATGGTGCGATGCGTGTCCAGAGAATGACCGAGTCTGGGTAGGGATCTCCAGAAGCGACGCCGTGCGTGAAGCTCAGCTGGGCAGGATCCCAAGGAGTTGCCCGTTTCACAAGGCTCCTCTTTGCGACCTTGGGCACATCTATGCCAAGACCTTCATGCCGGCGAGAAGGCGAGTGGTAGTTCAGGTTGTCGTCGAAGGATGCACACACGAGCGAGGCTAGAGGCGCCGCTGCCAGAAGAATTGAAAGCATCGTGAAGGCTGAAGAAGCTTCAGTAGTTCTCTTCCGACCCTCCAAAGTCTTGAGACTGGAAAGCTTAAATACTTCTATACATACTTCGACATGCCGTCCTCCATGCACGACTCTACCCTCTTTGCAACAAGCAGGCCGCCAACATTACCGCATCGCGCATTCAGCACGATACTGACAGTAGCTATGGCCAATCGCAGGAGGTGCATTGTAAGTGTGGAAAAACGTGCCTGTTGATCGTCAACGGCGACATATGCAAGATGCGCATGTGCGAAGAGGTAGAGATGAGATTGGTCGAGCGCTACTGCATCCCGTCTGTCAGTCTAGCCGATTGTGGGGGTACGCAGTTCGTCTGAACCTCGTTGATGCTGGTGCAAGAAACATAGCGTGAGGAGTCAACCCGACTATGTAGAACCGAGATAGCTAGTTCAGTTCAATGACAGGAGAGACAGTGCTTAACTTCCAAAGCTTCCAGCTCCTGACCTCTCAGATGGCCGCGGACCTGGACAGCGCTAACATATTAGCGCCGTCCGCACCACCCCATCATCCGTCCCTTCAACATCCACTACTCTAGCTGCTGTATATATGGTTCACAGTGCAAACACACCTTTGGATCAAAAGTTCAATCGTACGCTGGGGTGACACCTGCCTTTCTATACATCCGACCAATCGCTTTATCGTTAGCACTTCATCCAATGCACCCGTTTTCATCATATCCACGTTCCGGCGCTCGGGCTCTCATTCGCTCTCTTTACATCGTGGTACACCTAGCGTCGCTCTGTTCAAAGGTACATCATCAAAGCAAACAACAAGCCAAATGCTGACAGCGAGGCTTACAATGCTATTTATCTTTACTGATTTTCTCACTAGGAGCTCATGTAGGCTGCAAGCTCACGGATATTATTCTTATAATTGATTGAGTTTTCCCGTTGTATGCGGCAGGAAGATTACGTGCTCGCGGCTATCACTATGGTCGCGCGAACAATCTACTCAACCTTGTACACAAGCTTTACGCCTGATACCTTGTTATCCTTCAAGTCTTGCAAGCCCTGTGGAACACCGGCCAGTCCATTTCTGACCTCAGCCGGGTGAGTCTTGATCTTGCCACTGTTGAGCCACTCCTCAGCCTGCTTCCAGAACTTGGCACCAAACTCGTAATCTTCCTGACTGGCGCCGACGTTTTCATTGAACTTCTCACCGAGCGCGGTGTAGGCAAAGGTGAATTTGGTCTTGACGTCACTTCTCGGGTAGTTCTTGACTGGCAGAAGAGCAGACATGTGACCACCGCTGGAGCTGATGGCAGCAGCGGTGATGTCAAACGAGTTTCCTTCGGCAATGCAATCGAAAGCCAACTTCAGCTTGTCGTTGGTAGCTTTGCGGATCTGGGCGCCAACATCGGCATCCTTGTAGTTGAAGACCTGGTCGGCGCCGAGCTTGCGGAGCATGTCGAAGTTGTGCGGTGAGGATGTCGTGATAACCTCGCAGCCTGACGCCTTCGCGTACTGAATGGCGAGCGTTCCTGTCGCGGTGGAGCCGCCGTAGATGAGGACTGTGGTTGGTTCTTGCACCTTGGCGGGCGGCAGTGGCAGACCAAGCTCCTGGTACAAACCTTGAGCTACGGTTGTGATTCCTACACCCAAAGTCGATGCATCCTCGAAGGACATATTGTCGGGAATCTTGAGGTTGATTCCAGTCTTTGCCTTGATGTGTTCGGCGAAAGCGCCGTTGGAATGATCAGCAGGGTCACCTGAGGTACGTCAGTTACCACCTTCCAGAATGAACAATGCTGTCTGTACCTCCACGAACAAAACCAGCAATTCGGTCTCCAACCTTGTAGTTGGTCACAGCCTTGCCGACCTCCTCGACTACACCAGCATAGTCACACCCAGCAAGAGCGCCTGGCGCTGTCGACCACTCAATGCTCTTCCAGTCAGTTGGGTTCAAGGCTACGGCCTTGGTCTTGACAAGAAGCCAGTTGTCGGCAGGAAGCTTGGGCAGAGGGACGTCATTGCGCAGCTCAGAAACGCCTTTGGAGGCGCAAACGACTGCTTTTTGTGTAGACATGTTTCGTGAGGAGGGAATATGTGGAAGTCTGGTGTGTGGTTTTGTTCCTGACAGTAGGGGTATCGGGAACTTTGATGGCCTAAGGAGTCGATTGATATACATTCTGCTATGATGCAAGGCCTTGTAGTGGATTTGTAATGGGACCACTCTTAAGATCTACCGGGCGGGGCGGAGCATGTTCGGCGAAAGCTAGGGAGAGGGAGCATGCTTCGTACTCGGGGTGATAAGTAATTCGTGATCACTCATACTATGTTCGGAGCACTGGTGCAAGTGTAGCGTACTATGCATACTGTGAGAAGACCGTTGTAGTCTTTGCTTACTGCAATGTGATGTGATGCGGATGAAATGGTCCAAGCTCGGGCTTCGCGCTACGTAGGTAAGCTTTGGCGCAAGGGTCCAGCAGCGCGACGCATTTGACGCGTAGCTCTTCTGCTTCGACTCCACAGGCACGACCCCTCCAAGGCTTATTGGGCACGCAGTCTGTCATTACCGTCATGGACGACCTTCAACGGCCCCCAACGCCTGAGGACGAGGACATCAAGCTCAACTTCTTCCCCGATCCCCCGCCATTCTACAAGTACTTCACCACCGAGAACCTCGCCCGACTCAAAGACATTGAGAAGGAAGCCGCACCAGAAAATGACGACGCCCAACCCTCTACCTCCAAAGCCGCGACGAAGCTCTCTGCAGAACAAATTCTCGCTTTGCCGACCGAGCTCCGCTACCTGATACCACCCGAGCCACCTGCAGACGATGCCGAGTTCCACGTCTTCGGCGCAGTAGAAAGTGCCAAGGGCGCAAACAACTTGATGAAGAACATGGACTATATAGCCGACCAACTCAGGTTTCAGGATGTCTTTCACGACTGGACGTATGAGCAACTGTACCCCTCCCCCTCCACCGAACCCTCCGCCGATGACCCTTCCGCGCAACAGCCTACCACGAGCAACTCTGCGTCTCTCGACCGCCAGAACTACTTGTTCCGCTTCTTACGGAGCATATTGTTGAGCTACATCTCTCTCCTGGGTATCGTGGCTGCGAATCCAACCTCAGAGCAAAAGGAGCAGAAGCTCAAGGATATCATGACATTGGTAGCCAACATGCATGCGCTGATAAATGAGTACCGGCCGCATCAGGCAAGGCAGACGCTCATTGCCAAGATGGAGGAACAGGTGCGCAAGAAGAGGGAGGAGATTGAGAGCGTAAAGCGGATAGGAGAGAAGGTCAAGGAGGTCCTCGCTGGATTTGGTGGGGTGGACGGTGAGAATAAACCTAGCGATGGAGGTGAAGAAACTCTAGAGGACGGGACAAGGGCGAGAGAGGAGGACAGGCAGCGTGTGCAGAGGGGGATGTGGGACGCTATTAACGAGGTCGTAGGATAAGAACCATGCGACCAGGCTCCGACACGGTCGGACAGCATCGTGACGACAATTAAGCTATTTCGATTTCAACTGTAAAAGTGGACGCATTGCCGACAATGAAGCTCGAAGCATCCGGTGCTTTCAAACACCACATACATCAGAAGGCTTACAATTTCGCAAACAACACATACATTCTAGAGACGAAGGCGCAGACAGTTTGTTGTAGGCAACTGCACTTGGCGAACGTCGGCACCAAGCAGCCGCACGATATCTAGAGTCTCGGCGTGGGCAGCATTGATCCAGGAACATGACGTCATGCGGCCTTTCCACTCGCCAGAAATCTACCTGCTTGATACTTTGGTTCTCATCAGCCACACCCAAAGCCACAATCCTTATTCTATTAGCTGTTCCTCCATAGTTCGTATCGTTGTTTCGGAAATTTCCGTTGGCGCGTCCCAGCTGGTAGTGCTTGTGACACGAACGTAAGCTTCAAGGGTTGGCACGCGCTCAGCCCCGGTGCGCAGACATCCAGGACTTGATAAAGAAGGCGACCACGGCTGACTGTTTGGGTTCAGCTCCTGACCGACTGTTCTCAGGCTGCGAACGCCGAGAAACAAGCAAGTGCGCGGCTGAAGAGGACCTCTACTTTGTAGATAAAATCGCATATATCTACATCTTCGACGCGTTTTATAGCCAGGTCATCTGCCATACTGAGAGACTTCGAGTTTCCGAGACTCTTCAAATTTGATCACGTCGTCACCATGCCATCCACAACCTCGACAAGGCCAACGAAACGCCTAGCCATCTTCTGCGACGGAACGTGGGTCGGCCGCGAAACCGAAGTCGAAGATGCACCACCAAGCAACATCCGACAACTCGCAAATATGGTCGGTGAAGTCAAATATGTCACCGACGACAAAACAGCCGCAAAGGTTCATCCCATCATACCTCACAATACAACGCCTAAAGGTTCTCCCCTGGACATCATCGCCGGTTACCAAGAAGGCGTCGGCCTGAACAAGACCTTTTTACAGTACATCTGGGACGGCGCAACTGCCTCCACCATCGGCGAAGAATGCATAGCCGCCTACCGCTTTATAGTGGAAAACTACACTCCGGATCACGAAATCTGGCTCTTCGGCTTCAGCCGCGGCGCCTTTACCGTCCGCTGTGTAGCCGGCATGATCAACAACTGTGGCATCATAAAACGGCTTCCGGAATACACAGATGTCGAAGTTCAAAGGCTCTGTCATGAGGTCTTCAGAACATACCGGAGTAACCTCCCCATTGACGCACCCAAGAGCGAAGAATGCCAGCGATGGAAGGGGCTTGATGATAAAGTCTGGCAAGTCAAACGGCCTATTCGTTTCATGGGTATCATCGATACCGTTGGTGCGCTGGGTATTCCGAGACTCAACGCGGGAATTGGGTTTGATTGGAGCCCATTTGAATTTTTCGACCAGACTGTCAGTAGCGTCGTGCAGCATGTCTACCATGCGCCTTGTTTGCACGATCGACTGTGGATCTTCCAGCCTTGTTTGGTCTATCCTAGTGAAGAGGGTGGCGACGGCGAGGAAAAGGCTGTGGTGAAGCAGAAATGGTTTCCAGGAACCCATTATGATGTCGGTCGTATGACTTTCCGCTTTGCACGCCAGAGCCCTGCAAATTGGATTGAAGATGCGTTGGGCTGGGCTACAGACCTGCTTTCACGGACAATTTATCCGAATGAGGTGCTTAGCGATGCGGTATTGAGGTGGCTGGTTCAGGGAGTACAGGAGGCTGACGACGATTCTGCGAATCCGTTGATGCCAAACACTGATCAACACGTCGAGAGCCTCAGTAGCAGACTCGGAGAATCTGCTGTGGCATCCTCAACAGCATCAGCTCCAACCGCTCGAACAGGAAGCGGCGACATCTACGGTGACGTTCTTGCTTACGCACCGGGCGGTAGGGTGTTCAGTGCTATAAAGCGTACTTCTCATTCCATCACTGGACTACTGAATGATTTTATCCCTCACCTTGGCGACAATATCCAGAGTTTGCTAGGGATCAAGGCGCTTGTCGGTATCTTGACTGCTACAGCTGATCGTCGTATACCAGGGACGGAAGCGGATATTTACCCTTACAAAGAGTCTGAGACTGTGGTCGTGCAAGGGAGGGAAGTGACGTTTTCAGTCGAAGAGTTGGCAAGATTGAATGAGAAGAACGAGAGAGGTATGTTACGGTATCCGAGTCAGACGCTAGAGGCTCATCAGCTTTGGAAACGTGTATTTGGGAAGAAAGAGACGCAGTGATGGGAACGACACGTGACAAGTTAGCTTCTTTTGCGTGAAGCTCACTGATAGTAAGAGTGTTCAGTTATTCTTGCAAATCTAAATCTGATCGATCCTACTTGCTCTTGTTCATCTCAAAAGCACCTTCATTCGCGAACGCCTTCTTGTCTACGACTTGATCCCTGGTAAACCATCTATTAGATTTCTTCTATACTCTAAAAGTACACATTCATCAGAACTAAAAGCGCTCCATCATTTCGAGCGTACGCCACATCCCCAATACGAAAATGCTTAGACAAGACTTACTTCTTGCCACGGCCTCCGAAGCCCCATCGGATCTGGTTAGCCCAGCGACCCTCAACACCGAGATCATCGGCGCATTGCCAGACAAAACCGGGGTTCTTCTGGAACATGCGGCCAATGAAGGCAACATCAAGATTGTCGTTCTCGAGGTACTCGTTGGCCTGCTTGCCGTCGGTGATGCTACCAACAGTACCAACGGCCATCTTGTCTCCAACCTTGTCCTTGACGGCCTTGGCGAAAGGCTCTTGGTATCCCGGGCCGGCATGGATGTGCTGCTTCTCGTGGAGACCTCCGGAAGAAACGTCGAGAAGGTCTACGCCCCTGTCGGCGAGGATCTCGGCAAGCTTGACGGTCTGGTCGACGGTCCAGCCCTCGATACCGGCTTCATCAAGCCAGTCTGTCGCGCTGATGCGGAGGACGAGAGGCATGCTGTCAGGGATGGTCTTACGTGCGAGGTCAACGACTTCGAGAGTGAGACGGGTGCGGTTCTCGAAGGATCCACCGTATTCGTCAGTACGCTTGTTCGATGCTGGTGACAGGAAGGAGTGGAGTAGGTAGCCGTGAGCGTTGTGGATCTCGATGGTGTCAAAACCGATCTTGAGGGCGCGCTTGGTAGCATCGACAAATGCTTGCTTGAAGGCCTCGATGTCCTGCTTGGTCATCTCCTTGGGTGTGCAGTGGTGGTCGTTGAATGCGATAGCTGAGGGAGCATAGACGTTGTCTGGCCAGCCGTTCATCTCCTTTGTAGCGATATCACCCTTGCTCAACCAAGGAGCGACGGTGCTGGCCTTTCGTCCAGCGTGTGCGAGCTGGATACCAATCTTCTGGCCTTGGGAGTGTGCGAACTCAACGACCCTGCGAAGAGGCTCCATTTGCGAGTCTTTCCAGAGACCGCAGTCCTCTGGGGTAATCCTTCCCTCGGCTTGTACCGCAGTAGCCTCAACGAATGTGAGGCCAGGACCGCGCTGGATGATGCCGCCCAAATGTGTGAGGTGCCAGTTGGTTTGGTGGCCATCTTCGGCAGAGTATTGGCAGAGAGGCGAAAGAGCAAGGCGGTTCTGAATCGTGAGGCCGCGAAGCTTGAGGGGTTGGAAGAGCTTGGGGATCTTGGAGCTGCCATCGAGCATGCCAAGGGCGGTTCCGGCGACGGGCTCCTGTGCGGGAGTGAAGTATGAGATCTAGATGGGTTAGCTGACAGAAAACAAGAAGTGGGAACGAATACATACACCAGCGGCAGCCTTGTTTCTCAGCTCGTCCTGCTTTGGGACTTGTTCGCTGTTCTTATCCTCGGGAATGTCCTTTGCAATCGCATGATGCGAATGCGGGTTCTGGCTATCGGCCTCAGCACCCATTATGGCGGTCGTAGGTGTATGAAATTGGATTTGTGAGGTATTGGGAGGGTGGTGTAGAAGGTTGGGGCGTCAATGGATATGTGCAGCGAAGAGTGGGTGGTCAATGGCATCTTTATACTTTTTCTCCCACTCTTCGAGAAAGTACCGACATGACGTGCATGTGTGAACATTGCTACCACTGAACCTCTGCCGCGGGGCATCTTTGGCGCCCCGCCTTCCTCGTTTGGGATGGTTCGACACCTAGCAACCCATGGATTCGTTAAAGCCGGATTTGTAAGAAGCACGCCTTCGCATTCACCGACATGTTGCATAGTCGAGTATGCTGGAAACCATGTTTGGAGGCGCACGTACCGGAGCGGTGGTTTACTGAACTACCTAGGCACGGTGGAGCCAGTAAGAGCTCTGCTGGGAAGCTTATACATGTGCTGACCGAGGTAGCCGAGTAACATAAGCAATGCTTCCCCATGATCTGCAGGCATCCGTCATACAGTACATGGCCTGATAAAGGTTTCGCTCCTACTTCGGACGTCCAATTCTCTGTTCTCTTCCAACACTTACTGAGCTTTGTGCAGCATGTCTCAGCAGCTTGACACGCGTTGCGATATCACAGCATATTACTAAGCGTCGGTTACTTGCCCATGCGACGCGTCAAACTCGGTCCAAGCAACGCCGCCGAACTTTACCGCTCCAAGCCATTAGTGCCGCAATCGATTCTGTCTCATGGACTTCCAAACACAGTATACCAAGTCTTTTACGCCGGTGTTGGCCCTGCTCTATATGCGACAAGCCTAGAACGCGAAGCTTCGTTGGTCGTATCAAGGTGGACAAACTTTCTTCCATGTGTACACGCTAGGTGGCACATAGCCGATATGACTTTAAGCACCTGTGCACACTAACAACGCGCGCGTCGTGCGTCATCAGAACTGGCCATCGCGTCTCGGAGGCCAATTGAGCGCATGATATTAAGGACATTCTCTCCTGGGTTCTAGGAACGCCTGTGCCTTTCTTCATTCTTCAAAATACATTAAACAAGCTCTCCGTGGGCTTCCCGATGGTCTTCGAGCTCGTAGGTAACTGGCAAACGTCGTCAAGGAAATGGTTCTGGGATTTCAACTGTCATGAGTCTTAGGTTTTTTAGATGATGCTGAATGCCACATAATTTGTCACAGGTCTGCCAGTAATCGATGCATTCGTCAAAAGATTCTGGATGAAGATGAAAAGCGACTTAAGAGCTGGAAAATCCCGGATAGCGCTTTGATATCCTGCTCATCCTTCGAATTGCCAAAAGTTTCGAAGCTTTAAGGAGACGCAAATACCTCTTGCTCAAATTCTCACTATCGATTCTGGTCAAGCGTACAGAATCAAAGATACATATAGGCTACTCTGTCGTAGGAGGGTGGAATCTCTGAGTGATGGTGACCAACTGCAAAAGTCACCTCTGCAGGACGTATGGCATTTCTCAGGATCGCTCAAGCGTGGCAACGCATGTTCAAGTGCAAGCGGCCTACCACAAGAAGTGAGAATCTTGGAGATCGCTGACTGTATGATGGCTCTGCCCCGCCGTCTTACTCTTGGCGTGTTTACGCCCCGCGGTGTCGTATTCGATCATCATAGAGCCCTCTCAACGTCTCTATAACAGTCTGGTGCTCTCAGGGCTTCTGGAAGCAACCCGTGACGCTACATCAGATCCTGTAGTTCACCGCAACATACCTAAAGGCACCGCAATCAACCACCAATCAAAGTACAACTCCAACGACTAGTACGAAAGAAGGCCAGATGATAGTCTGGTCTACACGCACATATTCTTCAACGTTTCATCTGAGCATTGTTTTCCTTGCGTTGTCCTGCCCAGCCGATATCACAAGCCAACACCGAGGATGCGATCTACCACCGTGGAACCAGGGGAGGCACTGGAACGAAAAGTCGAGGAATACAAACCTCGAGAGACATGCAACACAACACGAACCAAGAGTAACCTTCTTTGTCTGCCAGCGGAGATTCGGATGATGATCTGGGAGTGTCTCGTAGCTGAAAAGCTCATCATATTCTATCGGAAAGGCGGCCAGATTACATCCAGTTTCCTAGACAGACACGGTACACTGAGTATCAACAAAGCGACTTCACATATTGTGTACGATGTAGCAAATAGATCTAGAACCAAGTTACCACCGACGAGGTCCAAGTCGAAAGCTGACCTCATGGCTCTGCTTCAGACGTGCCAAACGATGTAAGTTTCTAAAGCGACGATCATGTTGCAAAAGCCCGCAAGCTGATGTCATAGATCTCTGGAGGCCACCAAGGTCTTCTACCAGGAAAACACGTTCGTCTGCCTTGACAGCGTCGTACTAGTCGATCTGTGTAACGGACAGTCGTCGTCCAACATGTCTCTCATTCGCTCTTTGCAGTACTCCATCGGTACCCGCAAATTCTTCTCGTCTGCAAGCACCCAATCAGAGCGCGAAATGGTACCGTCTCCTTGCGATGTTGAGACATCGGAGAGCGTTAGCAAATTCTTCCACCGGCGGTTTCCCAACCTTCGAAACCTATCGATATTTCTTTATGGACCCCCCAGCCATGATGAAGAATATGCAAATATGCTAGGACATCTGCAAAATGTCTATGTGCAAAGGATATCGATAACCATGAACGCACTAGAGTTACCAGAAGCCTACTTTGTCAGGAACGCTACCCTTCCCTCTTTGCCCTATACTGATGGACGCGTTAGGGTAGTGGTGAGCTCGACGCGTCCTGGGTGTTTTATCTCGTACCAGAAGGCGATCGAATGGGAAAATCCAAGAGTCGAAGACGACACCTGGATAACCGGGTCACTGTGGCTCGGACCTCTTCATGAAGCAGACGCGACGTTGAAGTTATTGACTTATGCAGTGCTTATACCCGAGGATGAGAAAGAGCATGCAGTGCAGGAACATGAACCGGCCTTACTGTGGGATATTATTCCCGCTGAGTGGTATAGCAGCTGCAGCTTCGCATGAATTTATCCGACGTATCTTCTCGAATTCTCTGCACATCGAAGGAGCATTTGGTTGCCGAGTGGAGCTGGATCCATGCAGCAGGCGGCATTCTCCATTATATGGCGATCTCCTGCCCCAGCAAGACGACGTCAATGCAGACATGACGAAAGCTCCTTCCTGTCAAGTAACCCAATGATGCGCATCATGCGCGTTTCGTTTCGAGATGGCTGAGGCATCGAGGCTGAGGCAGCCGATGTTCCCGATATTCCCACGTAACCGGTCCTTCTTGTGCGTGACGTTATGTGGGAACCATTCGGTCAGGCCGAATTCCTTTTTGGAAGCCATGCAAACCTCGGACAAGGAGTGTGGCATGAGGCACATGCCGAGAAATGCGATGATACGCTTTTGCTGCAGCCGCCCGTGCCACAGCCACAGGTGGTGCGAGAAACCTCTCTGGACGGGAATATGACAGTGGGGCTGTTTTCTGTAAAGCGAAGGTGCGGTGGCCGATGCGGTGATAGGGTCTTTGTTAGATGAGGATTGCAATTTACCCCACGGCGATTGCGGCGCATCATAAGAGGAACAGGCTAGCGTACTTCTTTATTGGGCAAGGCGCAGATAGGTGAAGCATGGGGTCAAACGTTAGAGAGGGTGGCGGCAGCCAATGGCGTGCAAGCCCCGACCATGCGCCAGCCGCTGTGCTCGAACGCCAGTGAGTATGGCCTGTCGACGCTCCCTCGACACCACTCGTGTCCGTTTTGTGCTTCATCGACAAACGTAGACGCCGGCGCTGCGATTCACTCACTTGCTCGCAACGTAGCATTCTCTACTCGATTCGTGTTGCGCTCTATTTGCGATTGCCCCTCGCTGCTCGCTCGTTCGCGCCTGCCGCTCCCTGACGCCCGTACCCACTCTCGTTCGCGACCACCACACAGCAGTTGTTGGCGTCGCATTCACCACGGCGCAAAGACAGCGACAATAGGCCGCGCAATAACAACACAGCCATTGTCGCTATACATATACGCAGCCGCAGCCGTCGGACAAGCCTCTTCCGCCGTCACCGCTGTTCAAGCCCTGCGCGTCTCAAACACAAGACGCTCCACCCGCACACCCTCTGGCTGTCATGCGCACGGCACTCTGGTAGCATACCGAATACCTACCTTTCTGGACAAGACCCCGTCCCCGGCCACCAGCCGCAATTCTCCGCCTGGAATTACAAGACCACCGCCCCTGTCGCTCTTTCTCTCGCTCGCTAGTGGTGAGCAGCCGGCCTGTCACCACCACATCGCGAACCACTCTCTCTTGGACTCGACCCGAAATTACCTCTCTCCTTTTGGCTACCAAACACCACCCCATGTCCTAGCGACCCAAGTCACTCTTTAGACGAACAGCTGGACTGCAGGCCATCGTACCGTTGAGCGGATACATCCATACATACACACTTACGTGCATACCGAATAATACCGAATACCACCAACCATGGGGTGCTGCGGAGATCGCGAAAAGGGTACCACCGTCACGGAGGAGCAGAAGTGGACTTACATTGTAAGCACTCGAGTGTGACAATTGAATTAGACGTGCTAATCCAGCTAGACCTTGTCCGACTTCAAATCTACCTCGTGCCTCGCGCCTTTCTCTTACGCCTGGCTATGGATTCTCGTCTTCATCTCGTGTGCCGTCTATGCCGCCGACGCCTTCACTGCCGTCAACCTCCTTGCTTTTGACAAATGGACAAGCCAGGTCAAGCCTACCGTACCCTTCGACGTAGCCAAATGGATCTTCGCCATTACCATCATCATCTCCTATGTCTTTCTCGTATATCGATGGATCAGGGCTCTGCGCGTTATGCGCACAGGAAGTATCACGGAGTGCTACCTTGAGCCATTGGCTGCTATACTGCAGAGTATGCGCATTACCAAGGCTGGCCAGGGCTGGCGTCGTTTTCTGGTCTTTGCCGAGTTGACCAAGAGTAAGAAGGGTGCCAACTACATCGCCCTTTTTGTCTACTTCCAGTTCAAAAGCGCCCTGCTCATTATTGTTGCACAAGGACCTCGCATTGCCCTCAACGCCATGACTTTGTACGCCGTCATGCAAGCGAACCTCTTGCCCGTCGGCGAGCACGCGTCAGAAGATCGCTCTAACTTCGAGCAGTTCTTCATGAACATCAAAGTCATGGTCGACACTGGCAACAAGCAGGAAACCGTCATCTACTTCACCATGTTGTTCTCCTTGGTCATTTGGGTCATCGCTGCGCTGGGTTTGATTGTCGCAGGAATACTATACCTCTTCTTTCTGTGGCACTACATTCCCAAGGCTGACGGCAGTCTTACCAACTACTGTCGGCGCAAGGTCGAGACTCGTCTGGAACGTATTGTCGGCAAGAAGATTAAGAAGGCGATTGAGAAACAGAACCAGCAGCTGAAAAGGGACGAAGAGCGAGCGATCAAGAAGGGCGAATTCGACGCGTCCAAATCTCGACCTACTCTGCCCAAGCTTGAGGGTGACGACGACGACACATCCACTGTCTTCTCGATGCAACGATCCGACACAATGAACACGACCGCAACGCTTCCCCAATATACCGTGTCGAATGCGCCAGCATATAGGTCAAACCCACCATCACGTTCGAACACTTCCAACACCATGAACACCACGAATACTGGGCGAAATCTGATGAACAAACCGTCTCTGCCTACCCTAGACGAGCGACCTGGTATGCCAGAGCGTGATTTTACAAACTTCTCGACTGCCAGCTATGGTTCCAATGCCCCGATGTTGAGCCAAGCTGGAGGCATGGGCAGGTCATCACCAGCACCTCCGATGCCACCTCCTGACCGTAACGGCACTGGATATTTCGACGATCAACATAACCTGCCATACCAACCAGAACGCTCATTCACACCAATGTCACAGGGCAGGGCATCTCCACTCCCACCACGCGGTCCTATGCCGCCTGTAGACACAAACTACAACAACTATCACAATTACGACAACGGGCGATACGAGAACGACTCTCAGTTGATCACCCCCCTTTCCAACGATCAACGCGGCCCGCCACCGTCTCACCCTAACCGCCCATACCAGGAGTTCAGTCCTTACGACAGTCGTGGGCCTCAGATGGGTCCTGAGTATGAGCTGTCACCTGTCGATGTGAACCCAACGGAGGATATCTCCCAGCACTACTTCGCAGACTCGAACGTTGGGGACAACTACCAGCCACCTCAATTGCCCAGCGCATTGAGATCTGGATCGCCTGCGCCTTCGCAACCCGCAGGCTTGCCATCTCAACCACGCGCAGGTACCGCGCCTCCACGATCTGGTACAGCGCCGCCCCGAGCAGGCATACCAGCATCACTACAGTCAGCAATCCAGCGTCGCGAGGCCTCACAACCTTTCCCTAACAGAGGCATGAACGGCTCTGCGCCACCCCAACAGCAGCGAAGTGCGACAGCACCAATCCAACAACCAGGTTGGGCACAAGGCCCTCCTCCTCGCAGCTTCACACCTCAGGGTCCGGGTCCCCAGCAGCGCAGTTACACACCTGTGTCTGGACCCCAACAACGCAGCTACACACCCACTGCGCCGCGCGGCTACGACAACAGTTACAACTACTGATTTCCGAGATTCACTCTTCTCACGTAGCGTTGGATATCACATTATGCATTGTACGGCGTTCACTTCTCTCTCCCCCTCTTTCTTCTTTCCGTCTGTTGGACACAGAGGCGACCAACCCTTCTTTTCTTGCACCTTACATTCAAACTTTACGACATCTACCATTCGCTTCGATGTATGACAGCCAGATTTGACGATCGTGGTTACTTCTTTCGCTATAGCATGTTTCGAGATACCCCCACCCGCATGGCTGGCCTCGGACGTTCATTCGCTCTTTTTTGTTTCACGTAGCTGCTTGGGACGTTGATTGATTGGATGATTTACTGGCATATCTGGAGGAAACCTCTCATGAAGGAGGATGAAGAGAGGAATTTAAGCTTGTTATCATACAGGTAGCATACAAAGGGTATGCGAAAAGCGGCGGGCTTGCGCAGTGGATCGCGCACCCTTGTATCATACACCCACCTTCTTGCGGTTCGCAGAAATCAATGAAACTTGTGCATATGACAGTTACAACGCTCTTGCTATGATGATCCAACACATGTTGTGCCCGTGTTCAATTCAATTTCCTCTCTGTTGCCTGCACCAATGTCGCATCGCTTGTGGCTTGTGACCAAACTCTTCACTATAGTTGGTCAACCACCAACGAAAACTCGCTTGTTTCTCTCTTATCCCCCAGCTCTATGTGCTTTTCTATATCGTTTCAGATGATACGGGGAGTCACGCCTCCAAGTTTTGTTGTTTCTCCGGATAAGATCCTTTCTTCTTCCTTGTGTATGAGCAAAAGCATGATGAAACGCCTCTTGAATCAGTAATCGAACCCAAGAGACGGGTACAACGGACAAAACTGACTGATGTTGAGCTGGGTGCAGCGGAAGAAGGAAGTCGATGATGCGGCAAAAGCAAACGAGCGTTACCGAGCATTCCCGCATAGTTTGCAGCGGCTCATGCACATGTACATGTCGCAATCCTTAGTATGCGTTAGCCGCCTGTCACATGCCTGATCTACACGATAAGCAGCATCTCAACGGCTTTAACGCGTCTGTGTTGAATGCAAGTCATGCTAGAGCGAGGCTGATCTATATGCTTTTCGTGTAGTTTGGAGTCAAATACTACCATGCGTCAAGTAAACTTCCCTGAGTCCGAACTTTGAGTCGTAATTACTGAAGCCTACTACGTTACTTCCCGCAAGCTGCAAGAGTAGACAGGTGCTGTCGTGCGATGTAACTAGACAATCTGTAGCCATTTCATGATGGGCCAATGCAGAGTTGCTTTGATGAATAGCAGCTGACAGTTGACAGATGAAAAGGTATGATGCAGCGATTGCAACATGCACGTACGATACTACACCTTATGCGCCTGTCCATTCTGCCTTGCTTGCTTCTGGCAACCTCTTACATAGACCATAACATGTGATTACATTGCAAAAGTCGAAAAAAAGAAAAATTCTTACAGCGGGACTCTACCAAGATAATCACAACTACCTCGGCCATCTCCTTCAACTACATCGTCTACGAAAATCCACGTGGCTGGCCGCGAGCCATCAGGTGTCTAACCTGTACCTAGTTGCTTCCCCTCTGCCATAACCCGCAGGCCCGCCGAAGCGTACCACCAGATGTCTACGTCCAGACCCTGAACATACTACAACGGTACGCTACACTTCAGCATCCCTTTTAGTGCATCGTCCGTCGTAAGAACCAGCAGTGACCCGTAATTTTCGGCTGACTTGACTTGTCAGCGGGCTGCCGGGAGATGCACAACCTGCATGTCCGCTCGGGACAACGAAGAGAGATATGTGGGGGCACGGGCGTATCGCTGAACGGTCGGTTGACATGCACAGTTCGTTCTTCGTTGTTAGTTGCGGCGGGGGTGACAGCGATAAGATGTTTGGTACACTATGAGTTCTTGATGAGTTAGTCGGTCTCACCACGTGAACGGGAGCCGAGCTCGGCAATTTGAGATACGGGCGCTCTGGTCCGTACCTAGGTAGCACCCGGTCTGGCGACTATGGAAACAACAGCAGGCGGCTGGAACTGTAGCGTGAGTTTCTTTCTTCTAGCTGACAGATGTTTGACAGGTGTTGCGACACGACGTAGAGTGACGCGGCGCCGTGGCAGCGCAACAAAAATTGTCCAAAATGTCAGATGCGCGCAGTCGTGCATTTCGCATACATGGCACTGCATCGCCTAGCTTTCTCGAGCACTGATACAGTTTGCTGCGTGTGGCGCATACGACCGCAGCTGCTATGTCAGATATCAAAGTGTTGGATCATCATGTTGAGCTTCTGTGTTGCGAATCCACGCCGCACATACGCAGTGCCAGCGCTGATCGGCGAACCTGATCTTCAGTCAGCAGCGGTCCTGCCCAACCGAAATACGTTTGATCGACAGGCACCACAACCGCACCAGCGCAGCGGTCCAGACGAATATCCGCCGAACCACGCAACGACACAGCCCATTGCCGAAAAACACCAAAGCGGACGTTTTGACAGTTCAGGATAGTGTGACTGGAAAGTTTTGGTTCTCTGGACGTGCTTCGGTGTCTTGGTAGGAAAAAGGGCTGTGTCTTAGGCAATCTTGTGGCAATTTTATTTTTTGCGGCAGCGAAATTGACAGTTGTTGAGTGAGGGTTTTCGGAGGCGAACCGCTGGTGCTGACATGTGTAAACATGGATCCCAAAACTCCAATACGCTGTTGTTGATATTATTGTTGTTATTATTTGCAATCAACCCAAGAGTGCATGTGTTGCAAGGCCTGGGTCCCCAACTTGAGCTCCGGAATATGGCGGCAATGAAATTGAGTCATCATTGTGATCAATATGCCTACTGACACCTCGTGTCGACGTCTGATGCCACGTTCGTCATGTTGCATGCTGCTGCCCGATCTGACCGATATCCCCACCTGCGAACACGTCTGCAGAGTTCGTGATTGATCATGCATGCCCGTTGGCTGTGTAGTCGCCGACATAAATTCTTTCTGAGGAGAATTCTTAAGCACCTCACGTGTAATCGAACATACAGACTCGAGGTATTACTGGTGAGTTTGCTCCACAGAGCCACAAATCCATCCACAAGCGAAATTACCTGTACTTGTCTAGAACACATCCACTTTGTTGGCAGACTTACACCCAGTGACATCACACCAGCTTGGCTCTGAGTAGGTATCGATAAGCCGGCGACACTTGCGACGTCCTGCATAAATTTTTGTTGTCCGCTCCGTAGGGCGTTGCGCGGGTTGTGTGATTGGTGTAGCTATATAATCATGATGTTAGTGGTGCGAGTTCCGCCAATGGGAAGCTTTGAGAGACAAATGTTGAAATGTCGGACCGGCGGACGTTGGTGAGCTGCATGGCTGAACTAAGGAATCGTGGTGTGTCGCCTAGAGAACGACGACAGGGAGAACGCATGTCTGCATGCAGTAGTGTTTTCATGTATCTTCCTGGTTTTGCAAGGTATCAGCTGGCGCGAGGAGGTGGTGTTGTTGCCCGTGTAAGTGCAGTTTGCTCGACTACAGATGCAACGCAAAAGGGCGATACGCAGCACTATCATGGAAAGACAAGACATAGGAAAGCAAGAGAGATGTCCGCGTTTCTATGCCCGTTGAGGAATGGGCAGAGAACAAGCGGCCTGGTAGCAGACTTTACACATGATTTTCGCTTACCGGTCCGTTTTGGCTCGGAGGAGCATCATAGGGAAGTCCAGCGAACAGCGACCCACCACGTCGTGTGAGGCTTTTCTTGACACGGCTGGCGGTCCCGTTGGACGACAGGTCACTGGTGGGTAGTCGTCCAGATTTTCATCATGCATACACCGGCTACCACGTTGCGATAAAGAACCTTATCGTCCCGCTGACGGCACTGGGGCTCCACAAACGTTGCACCGGCACATGCTGCTGATCCGTGAGTGGAGGGAGTCCTGCCTAGGTGCAGATGGGCTGCATGTATGGAGGCAGGAAAGGGAAAAAGTCGTCGGTGTGGACATTTGCGTCACGATCCTGCTAAGGGACTGCTTGCTCTGACAGGGTTTTGTGGCGAGGCATGCATAACCGAGGGTGAGGGCTTGTTCGGCTTACAGACTGTTGTCGCGGCTGAATGAGGTGTGCATTGCGTCTGCACACGGCAGTTACAGTGATATAACGAGGTTGTGGACTCGTCAGGGCGGCGAAGACTAGACTTGTTGGGGTAGGAAACACGTGCCGGAAGGTGACAGGAACACGCAGGCAACGCGGCCGATGTGCGAAAACGTTCTGGAATCTAGAGGGCCAGTGGAGACTGAGGCCTGCCCCAATCACATGTATCTGGGTTCCACTACGTGTAGATCGCAATTGCGCGGCCTTCCCTTGTAGGTCCGCGGTTGCTGAGTCGTGTGCTGAGTCTTGGTATTCGCGCTGTCGTGCTGTGAACGTCGAGCGTCAAGGGCTTTGCTTCATGGCCGCTTGCGAGTCTGGCTAAGGGCTGTCGGGGCTGCGACAGGCGATGGAGCGACGACGAGAGCACGAAAGCGGCTGAAACTTCGGAGCGCCAACTGTGCCTGAGCCAGGCACACCAATCAAAAAAGGAGGCCAAGCCATCATCGCACACTATCCAGGGGTGCGACAGCCGGTGCCATTGGCCCAGACTAAATTAGTAACGGGGATAGTCCGCAGCGCGCTAGGCCTAGTCTGTCAGCCAGGAGATGAGATGGGGGCAGCCCGGCTCGAGGGCCACTCACCTTTGTCTGGCTGGCCGGTTTGTTTCCCTTTTCCTCTTCCCCTTCACCGTAACATATAACTCACCTATTGTCCCTCTTTTGAAAAGGCAAATTCGCGCGTTCACTCTTTCACGCCCGTCTTGCCGTCTGCTTGCTTGCTTGCTCGCTCACTCAGTCACTCATTACTCAACCCACAACAACAACTACCCAGCGCATCACGACACGCCGTTGAACGACGTTACGACTTGTCTGCCGTATAAATACCCAGCGCCATCATACTCCATACTCTTTTCGCAAAACCAAAATGCGTTACTCTTCCGCCGTGGTGCTGAGCACCGTTGTCGTTGGCCAGGCCGCTGCCGCCAACATGCACAACCGTCACGCCAGCTTCCATGCTCGCCGTCAAGCGTGAGTAGTATCTGCGAGTGTACAATGGGACAAGATGCTAATCCTGTGAAGTGATGCCAAGCGCAGTGCCGGCAACGACGTTGACTGGAGCAAGGTAGCATACGACCTTGGTGATGTCGACTGGAGCTCCGTCTTCGCCACTCCTACACCCACTCCCGCCGCCGCCCCTAAGGTCGCTTCTGTCGCCGATGTGAAAGCTGCCGCCGAGCCCACCCCTTACGCCACCAAGGAGCAGCCTTCGACCACTGCCGCCGCTAAGCCTGCTGCCACGTCCGCTGAGTCCAACGACCTGCTCGGCGACATTGGTGACGCCATCAGTGACATTGGCGACGACATCACCGACGCTGTCAGTGATTTCCTCGATGGTGTCTCGGAATGGGCCGAGAAGGTTAAGTGCAAGACCGGTCTCAACAAGAAGGCCGCCTGGGATGGTATCTGGATCGGTGGCGACAGCAAGTGGAAGGCTGAGTTCATCAACGACCGTTCCAACGAGGACATGATGCTCTCTTGCTGGCAAGCAAAGGGCTTCAGCGGCATGAGCCTTAATGTCAACTCTCCTGACATCTTGGTCAAGGTTCCCGCTGGCAAATCTATTGAGCTCTCCTGGAAGGAGAAGATTCCCTCCGCCTGTGCACCCTTCTACGCCAGCACCGCACTCGCCCAGTTCGGTGGTGTTAACAACACCTGGTGGGAGGTCACCTTCGGCCAGGACGGTGCCTTCGATGTCTCCCGTAACATCAACATGAACGGTGACAGCATCAGCTCCAAGGGCTCCAAGTGCACCTCCGACATGAACACCTGTGTCTTCAAGTGCAAGAACGGCATGGACACCTGCGAGAAGGGTTCCGACTACGACCTATTCAACTGCGACGCCAGCGGTGGCGGCGGTGGTGGCTACGATGTTGTCATGGCTGGCACTGGTGGTGGTTGCTCCATGGGCCAGGACGGCGAGACCGTCAAGGTCGTCTTCTCCTAAGCGTTGCAACTATGAACTGGCTGGAGTTGGTCGTCTCTTGGGTCGTTTTGTGTATTACTCTTCGCCATATTCCCCCTTGTTCCTTGCGGACCTGAACATGTCTTCTTGCCAAGACAGTCTTCATGACTTAGTTGTCTGGCAAAATGCCCAAGCGCACTTTGGGTAGTGGTCGCAGGTCCATTCGCGTTACTTGTCAAGGCTCTTAGTGGTCTATGTGTATCTTGTAAATGTCTATTGTTAGTTCCGCAAATACCAAAAGCTGAAAAAAAAACCACATCACCTTCCTTTCTTGATCCGACGTTGGAGTTTTGACGATCATGAAATTGCGCGCCACCATATCTTGATGGATGATGATCGCGATCGGTCTGGCACCCATTCGGGAGGATCCTTGTCTTTCAATATTGGCGCTCGGCCATAAGTATGTTGCTTTCCTCAGGGTTGTTGCGCTCTAGCTCAGGCCATGAACCAGGACTCCGCAGGCCAATCTCCGAAGGTAATGCATATTCCCTGTGTATAGCTGATGTGTGCGTAGTGTTGGCAGACCCGTTGATGACTAACTCTCGCTTCACGATCTCGTTCCCGAGTGGTGCCGGATGCTTGAGGCTGCGATCGGAGGCCGCGCAGTCTGCTTGTAGCCCTGATTATTGCTGCGTAAGAACTGTGAAGGCGAGATCTACATCATCCATTCCTGCCTTCGAGGAAGAGGCACCAGGTCAGATAGGTAGCGAGTACGTCATACCATAGTTCAGATCGTTTCGGAGATGGCGTGTGCGTTGTTACTTCTCGGGCGGACGAAGGGCAGGTACAACGAAGGGACAGGCGGCAGACATCTGGCGCACACTGGAAGCAATGTCCATCGGAAGGCAGTAGCTACGTGCATCCTTGGTTCATACGTGCAGCAGTCGTGATTTTAATGCATGGGAGTTGCAACTGCGACCTCGCGACAGAAGGTGGAAAGCGCGAGCATTAGATAGTAGTATAGAATTTTGTAATGCAATAGAGTAAAAGAGGTAGTTTCGATTATCGGATTCGCCAGGTGGCCATGTGATTGATACACTCGTTGAGTGTGCGACTGGGAAGGGAGGAACGATGTACAATCAAAAAGACATGAAGCACGTTGCGAAAGAAGTTCTGGGGAAACACACTTTTTGTCGCATACAAGAGAAAAGCTCAACCAGTGCAAGAATAACATGCCTTAGCTTACCGCCTACATTAGCTCCTGATGAGAACACTTGTTTAAGACAAATAGCATGTAGGCTTCGCTGTCCTTGCATGCTAAACAACAAGCTAAGCTGGGTAACCGGCACGCACAAGAACCCCAAAATCACACGATGAGCTTCACCAGAATGACAAATGACAACAAAAGTGCAAATGGTTTCATAAGTAATTCATTTCATGTGATACGCCCATTGCTATAGACAAGCTCCGCATATATCTGAGTGTCTAAGCAGCCGATTCCAACGCGAAAAGTGCTTTTCTACTCATACAAGTGGCAAGCTTCATGAATGCAACCAAAATCGACATGTAAGATGTAACATTTTCTGCCTCAGAGGTCGACCATTTACAACTCGTCGTGGTCATCGGGCATCTCATCGTCACCACCGGGGCCACCAGAGCCGTAGAGCTTGGAGGTAATGGGGTAGGCGACATCGGACAGCTTCTGGAACTGCTCGTCAAAGTCCTCAGCGGCAGCCTCTGAGGCGTTGCTCTCGAGCCAGTCCTGTGTCTCCTTGACAGCCTCGAGGAGAGACTCCTTGTCCTCTTCCTCGATCTTGCCACCAAGACCCTCGTCGTCGTTGACCTGGTTCTTGAGGCTGTAGGCGTAATTCTCGAGCTTGTTACGGGACTCAATGCGCTCGCGGTTGGCCTTGTCTTCCTCGGCGTACTTCTCGGCTTCCTCAACCATGCGCTCAATGTCCTCCTTGCTGAGACGGCCCTTGTCGTTGGTAATGGTGATGGACTCGCCCTTACCAGTGCCCTTGTCAATAGCGGAGACCTTGAGGATACCGTTGGCATCGAGCTCGAAAGTGACCTCAATCTGGGGAACACCACGGGGAGCGGGAGGAATGTTGGTCAGTTCGAACTTTCCGAGCTGGTTGTTGTCCTTAGTCATCGATCTAGATATAAAGTCAGTGTATGTCTCATATGCATTTCGTAGGATCAAAACTTACCGCTCTCCTTCGAAGACCTGGATCAGGACTACGGGCTGGTTGTCGGCGGCCGTAGAGAAGATCTGGCTCTTCTTGGTAGGGATGGTAGTACCACGCTTGATGAGGGTAGTCATGACGCCACCAGTGGTCTCAATACCAAGAGTGAGAGGGTTGACATCCATGAGAATGAGCTGGTCGGTAGCGGCGTCACCAGAGAGAACACCACCCTGAACGGCAGCACCGTAAGCAACAGCCTCATCGGGGTTGACATCCTTGCGAGCCTTCTTTCCGAAGAACTCCTCGAGCATGGCCTGGACCTTGGGAATACGAGTAGAACCACCGACAAGAACGATGTCGTCGATGTCGCTCTTCTTCATCTTGGCGTCCTTGAGAACCTGTTCAACGGGCTTGAGGGTCTTCTTGAAGAGGTCGTTGTTGAGCTCCTCGAACTTGGCGCGGGTAAGAGTCTCGGAGAAATCCTTGCCCTTGTGGAAAGACTCGATTTCGATCTTGGTGGTCTTCTGGGATGAGAGGGTACGCTTGGCCTTCTCGACCTCACGCTTCAGCTTACCCATGGTCTTGGAGTCCTTGGTGATGTCGACGTCGTTCTCCTTGTTGTACTTCTTGGTGAAGTAGTTGATGACACGGTTGTCGAAGTCCTCACCACCGAGATGAGTGTCACCAGCGGTAGACTGGACCTCGAAAACGCCCTCTTCGATAGTGAGAATGGACACATCGAAAGTACCACCACCGAGATCATAGACGAGAACCTGGCGTTCCTTCTGGTCGGTCTGCAACGCGTTAGTTCAATCCTTGTATTGCAACAAGTGCATATCTTACCTTGTCGAGGCCGTAAGCCAGAGCGGCAGCGGTGGGCTCGTTCACAACACGGAGAACGTTGAGACCAGCGATAGTTCCGGCGTCCTTGGTGGCGGCACGCTGAGCGTCGTTGAAGTAGGCGGGAACGGTAACAACAGCGTTCTTGACAGACTCGCCGAGGTAGCTCTCCGCAACCTCCTTCATCTTAGCCAGAACCATGGCGGAAATCTCCTCGGGTGTGAAGGTAGTCTCCTTGCCGTGAACCTCAACGCCGACGTTGGGCTGGCCGTTCTTGTTGACAACCTTGAAGGGGAAGTGCTTGATGTCATTTTGAACAGACTTGTCCTTGAACTTCTGACCGATGAGACGTTTCTAATCCACAGTCAGTGTGCCATCCTTCAAACAATAGTACACGGGGTTGTACGTACGATATCGAAGACGGTGCGTTCGGGGTTGGAGGCGAACTGGTTCTTGGCGGCGTCTCCGACAAGACGCTCGTCATCGGTGAAGGCTACCCAAGAAGGTGTGATACGGTTACCTGTAGAGGACACATGTCAGTTTTGGTGTATAGCATGGCTTGAACATGCAAACTTACCTTGGTCGTTGGTGATGATCTCAACCTTTCCGTTCTTCATAATACCGACACAAGAGTAGGTGGTTCCCAAGTCAATACCGATAACGGGGCCGGAGACAGCATTGCTGTCCTCCTTGATGGGTTCCTGGTCCTGGGCATGTGCTGTCTTAGCCAGCATCAGACCGCCGACGAGGACGAGGAGAAGGTAGAAGGCGATGGACCATGTTGAGCGCTGGTTGGCGCCCCGCGAGCTTCGTGCCATTGTGATGTGTATGTGGTGTCTTTCAAAGACGGTGTGGCTTCAAGTGCCAGTTGCAAGTGCGGGCGTAACTCTCTTGGAGCTCGCAATGTGGTGGAGAAGACTGAGCTCTCCGGGTATCGTAAAGGAAGGAAAACAAAAGGCGAGTTGCGGTTGCTTGGTGGTGAGTGGAGGAGGAAGGGCAAGTAGCGGTGGGAAGGGCTACCTATTATATGGACCGCTCGTGGAAGTATTTCGAAAGAACACCTTGCGATCTCGAGGATCTTGCTCCGGAAGAGGACTAGCGCCGAGCTCGCCCATGGCCCGTTCACTTTGCCCCAACCGCCCGCATCAACCTCAATTTCACCTGCGTTTGATGCAACATGTTACAGGACACGTGGAATTCACTAGGCGCTTTCACTGCCCTTGTGCAATGTGTGACTCCGCGCTATGGAACAGCTGTAGGCCACCGTAGCTTCTGGTGCCGTCGTTTAAGAAGCAATAGCTACAACGTCGCTATCTGTTATCGCGTGTTTAGTACAGTTTACCCCTCCATCTAAGCGAACTCGAACATCTCAAGACCTCGGTGCTCTATCCATCTTGACTTTGAAATAGCCAATGAACATTTCGAAATTGTAAAACTCCCATCACTACCTTGTGCGAAACCCCCCGCGAGTCTTGGTCATCCTGTGAGTAATCTCGGATGTGGTCCTGGATGTCCCCTCCCAAGGTTCCAGGTGTCCTTTCGGTAGCCTCCCAAATCGCTAAGCAGATCTACACGAGACACGGGTCCACCGCGAACATCATTCACCTTCATGACTCCTCCGTCTATATGCAACGTTTCCTCAAATCATGTTGCCACCGGCTGTGAAGCGACAATGTTTCGGCGGTTTTCACAGTTGCCTGAAATAAGAAGGGATTGAACCACGTATCCATCTGACCGCCATTCACGACCGTCATCCAATACTTGCATTCACTAACGCATTTACCATTGACACAGACTTGCTTCTGAACTGAAAGGTGAATAGAAAGCATCAGAACACCCTATGTTACGTCGCCTGATGCTTCATTCCGGATGTCTCGAGGTTGGCCAAGAGAATCTTCGCGATCTTTCCACTATCGCACTTTGCCGATCCGC